CTACAGCAATATTTTGAGTACTCTTTTGTATCTCGAGTATGTTTACTTCTTACACTATATCAATCCTGTATAGTTTTTACATAAAAGAAAATTGTTAAATGAGGAGTTACAAATAAAGTAATGAAATAATGAAGATAGTTAAAGGAGGAAAAGATAATAATGTACTCATTAATTTGAAAGGAGAAAAGAACTCTAATATTGCCATCTTAGCGAAATGGCCAGAAAGTTGCGTAGAGCTCTCATAGTACTCCATATGCTTCCTTTTTCATGTTATATATAGTTTCACTACATAATACCCTTTATTTTGCAATTTCTATTCTTCTTCTTATTAGGCTTTTATGGAAATTTGAGATAGTCTTTTAATGTTCTTTAAAACTCCTGAAGACGGGGATAGTAGGTATTGGAATACTCGGTCAGTCTTTCCTGCTATTTCATGTAAGGTAGGAGTAGCCGTTAGGATCTAAGTGCCAAATGCTCCAGTTGGGTGGACTAATAGTCTTCGATTCTTCTCTGTTTAACCTTCTTCTGCAGGAGCTCAGTGACATGACAGCGATAAAGGCTGATGACATTTTGAACACCCTTCAGAGCCTAGATTTGATTCAGTATAGAAAAGGGCAGCACGTCATATGCGCGGATCCGAAAGTCTTGGATCGTCATCTGAAAGCTGCAGGACGAGGTGGCCTCGAGGTTGATGTCAGCAAACTGATCTGGACTCCATACAGAGAACAGGGTTGATAATATAACTGGCGAGTTAGGATAGGTATTTCCTTTGGCTTGTACAAAATGCAGTTTTCAGTATCTAAGGCAAATAAGCTCATGTTTGTAAAGTCGCCGACCTCACGGTCCAATACATCTGGCGTTTGATTTTGTAGCTTTGTGGAGAATCATCGACTGGACTGATGGTTGAAGCGGTAATCATTTAATTGAGCGCTTTTGTCCTGCTCCCAACTGTTCATGAGGTCAAATCTTCTGTTTGATAGAAATGCACTCAGATTTAACTCTAAGTTACATGTAAGCTGTTGCATCTCATTGCATTCGTCTTGTCAGCTTCATTATGTACCAGAGACCTTGCTGGAACTTGTGCAAACTGAGGCTAGGGGCTTGACTACGAGTATAATCTTGTCTATCGGTACGTTGCGGAGGCGTCGATTAGTTTAATGTGCTCGGAATTTGTATATTTTGGTAATTCAAAAGCCGGCTTAATTTTCCTAGTATCGTTGGTTTTCCCCCTTTTCTTTCTCTTTTTCGTTTCTAATCTTTGATTTGGTTCCTTCCTTTTGATCCATCCTTCTTCCCTAGTGGTCATGAACGGTCTGGGCTTGGCTGCCAACACCCCAGCTACAGAAGTTTAGGGGCCACTTCAATTGTACGTGAATTAAGGGTTACCATCAAATCATCAAGGACATCATTGAGGACGATCAAAAGATATTATGACTCGATCTGATTGCGACAAAGTGTGATTGCTTTTACTGATGAAGTTCGGAAGCAGATCGGCGCCTGTATCACGTCCGAGACCCCAAAGTAATTCAATGTCTTGGCTATTCCTAAATCATGCACGACACATTTACCTGAGAAATTGCAGAACGAGTTCGGTATTCTTTGAGCCGTGTCGAGCCTTGCTAATGCGAAGCCATGATCGGACACAACATTTTAGTAACTTCCAGTTATAATTCAGAAAAACAAAATCCCAGGTAGGATCGTGTCGTAAAATTAATTCTGGAATGCTTTGATGATATTTAACAATCGAATTTTTCGAAAGCGAGTTTTGAACTCGAAAGGTAAGACATAAATATCAAGTATATTCCGTTTTCTTGGCCAAGCATTTCAAAACATTCTTCACATCCACAAACACTCAGCCAAAATATCATTCCCATACGTTTCGTTTGCTTAAAATCCTAATGACAAAAGTGATTTCTTGCCCAAACCCTTTTTTATCCACAATTCAAAATACTGCGCGATATATCTGCAAATAAGGTAAGAGCAATAAATCTAAATGATTCGAAAATGGTGGGAAGGATACTCATCTAACTTTTTTTCTTATCCATTTACTGATCAAAAAACCTCTCGTAATCGACCAAAACTTTAGCGATACTTTTACTATAGTAATTTGTATCTAGTTATCTAAATTCGCGATTGTAATATCAAGCGAGGATTGCTAAACCATCTCTAATCTTTTCAAATTGAATCCCCACGTCCTCTCTTTTTCCCGACCCCCCCCCACAGAAAAAAAAAATCAAAACAAATGTCGCTTTTTTTATTTTATTTCGTTATAATATTTTCTTTTCTGGGTGGGGTTTTTGTATCGAGTGAATTGACCCGTCGTCAGTCAATCATTTTGAACGAGACTTAACTTTTTTTTCTTTTTTGGGGGGGAGGGGGGGTGGGGCCCTTTTTTGATTTTCTTAAAAAAAATGATGAAAGCGAGTGATGAAAACAGACCAGACCATGTAACCAAAAAAAAACACACCAAACAGAGAAAGAGCAGCAGAAGAAGATAGTCGTTGTCTGCACTCGACCGATCCCGACACTAGCTCCACTCCCAAAGCTTTATTATTATTATTATTCCTCTTTTCTAGAAATTCGCGCTGAACAAATTCCCTTTTCCCTTTTTTATTTATTTTCCGATTTTCTTTATCCTCTTTTCCACGCCAGAAAATTCACCGTCCCTCCCGTCTTATCTTTAATAATAAAAAAAAAAGGGGGGGGGGGAGAACTCGCGAGAAACGGCGACACGTGTACGCTTCCCACGGATCGCCCTTCGCGGCTTGAGAGCTGCGGATCATATGCGCAAAGAGTTAAGTGCGGCGAAAGATTCGAAATTTATCGGAAAGCGAAATTGAGTCGTGAAACTTGCAAAAAGTGCAATCGAGTCTTACAACTTATCGAAATTGAATGATCGAATCCTTCTGTCAGCTCCGTCCAACTTTGGCTAACGGAAAATGTTAACATGGCTTTTTTTTATTGTAAATTTTTTTCTTTCAAATTACGTAGCGATCGCATGGCTAACACATCAAGCATAAGGCTAAAACGATGCCGTTTCGATCCAAGTCTGGTTTTCAATACAAATTTTATATAAATTAAATTAAAAACAAGTCCGATTTTAAAAAATAAATTTAAGACAGAACGATGTCGTTTTAACCATGTCATCCCCAAGTACGATAAAAAAATAATAATTTTCGAGAAAAAAGCTGCGTGAGCATTTTCCATCAACCCAGCTAGACAGAGTTAACGGAAGGAGCCAGATCGCACAAATTCGATAAATTTTAAGACTCGGATTACAAATTTTTTTGTAACACGTTCACGGCTCGATTTCATTTTCGCGAGATCTTTTAAAACTTTCCGTCCGTGCGCTCATTTCCATACTTAAAATAACACCTGAAATTACTACAAAATTTCTCGAAAGAGAAAGTGGGGGGGCGTCGTCGGGTTCGCGCGCGTGGACCTCGGGGGAGGATCAATTCCCCGTAACCGTCCGATCGCTCCTGAACTGCGAGGGGCGATTGGGTCATTTCCCGGGGGGTTTTGCTCCCTCGAAGGTAGGCAGTCAAAACCTGACTCTTTTACCCCTGGGGGAAGGGACAGTTATATGGTTTGGTTTTCGGGCGCAGTGCCCGCCACGGGTCCGTCATGCCTCCCCTCGCTCCCTCCATCTCTCTCTCTCTCGTGCTTCGATTAATTAAAAAAAAATTGTAATTATTATTAATCGACGGTTAATTAAAAAAATAAAGAAATATATACACTTGATTTAGAAAACCTGCTGTTTTTCTCTAGTTTTTTTGTTCCGTTCGTCGCGTTGGCGGATTGAATTTGTAGTGTTTATCTCGGGGATAAAAATGACAGTAATATCGGCGATTCAAAAAAAATATTTTCGAAAGTAATACTCCCAGTCTTTGGATAGTTTGTATGTAGACGGTGAAATTTGAAGAGATAACTTCCGATTTCTGAACCGGAACTCTTTCGATTCTCCGTGCTTGTGTCGTAAAAAAGGAGGAGGATTTAGATAAGTTTTGAATTCCAATTATTACCACATCCATTAGGTAGTTACCGTATGAGTTTATTTAGGGTTTTGCCGAGAAGTGTCTTATTAGCTAGATTCATGCTCATCTTGGTTGTAACGATCGTTTAGATCATTTGAACACGTGGATTTGTACCCGTTTGTGTTCAGTCGACGCTCGATCGATGCAAAAGAGGCGGTTCGAAATTTTTTATCGTGTCGAGGCCACTCGTGAACGGGATATGTTCGGTAAGCGCGATTTCGCTCCCATAAATTTTCAGACATTCTCAGTCGGCTAGAAATTTGGACATAAAAGATCCCCCGGAAGTAAGGAAAACACGTCAACCCCAATAGATAGGCTCGGCTTTCTCCAGCCATTTGCCGGGTACATTGTTTCTTACGAGTCACGACGGCACTGAATTCATACTACAAGTGACGCTTTTTTCTTCGCGATAGACACAATGCTCGATTGTGGACAAAGGAAAAAAAAAAAACACGACAAATATACGGAATAAAAACTCATCAAGAGAAATGTCAAAGTTTCTAGACATTTTTCAGCAATCGGATGTAGATCATTTTTCTTTTTTCTTTTTTTCAAATTCCAGATCGGATGACGTGTCATGATCTCGAACGGATACGATACAAGAGAGAGAGAGAGGAAAAAGCTCAAAACGAAAAGTATTTGGTTAGGCGAGCGAAATTCGAGGTGGGGCGGGGGGGGGGGGGGGAGGGCGGTTGTACCGCACGCGCCGTAATCCCGCAAGTAGCCCTCCCCCTCCCCTTGAGGGAGTTATACGGCGCCGGTGGCAAATGATGTAATTACCGGTAAAATCTGAGGGCACTTATCAATCCCCGCTTCGCTTCGCCTTTTCTCCTCCGACCCCCATACGTCTCTCTCTCTCTCTCTCTCTCTCTCTCTCTCTCTCTCTCCCTCTTTTCTGTTTCTCTCACTAACCGAGCAGCAGCAGTGTCCGATTGAGCTCGGCTAGAGAGAGAGAAAGAACGATAGAGAGAGAGAGAGAGAGAGAGAGAGACCTTCGAATTCGAAGCTTTTCTCCCTCTTACATGTCAAACCGCGCCCTCGCCCTCGCCCTCTCCCTCTCCCTCTCCTCCCCGAATCCTCCTCCCCCTCGCTCCCCGCCGGAACCCTAGGGATGTCCTCCTCCTCCTCCTCCTCCTCCGCCGCCGCCGCCCCCGCCGCGGCGGCGGCGGGGCGCGCGCTCCGCCCCGTGGACCCGAGCGTCTGGCGCGCGTGCGCCGGCGCGTGCGTCCAGATCCCCGCCGCCGGCTCCCGGGTGTACTACTTTCCCCAGGGCCACCTCGAGCAGTCGCCCGCCCATCCACCGCCGGTCCTCTCCCCGCTCGCCGTGTCCCGGACCTTCGTGCCCTGCCTCGTGGGGGCGGTCCACTACTTCGCCGATCCCCTCACCGACGAGGTCATCGCCAAGTTCCTCCTCCGGCCCGTGGTGAGCCCCGGCGCCCCCCTGCGGCCGGAGGGCCTGGTCGGCGCCGGCAATGAGCCGGAGGAGAAGATCGTGTCCTTCGCCAAGACGCTGACGCCGTCGGACGCGAACAACGGGGGAGGCTTCTCCGTCCCTCGGTTCTGCGCGGATACGATATTTCCTCCGTTGGATTTCAACGCGGATACTCCGGTGCAGCAGCTGTCGGTGAGGGACGTCCACGGCGGCGTGTGGAACTTCCGGCACATCTACCGGGGCACGCCGCGGCGGCATTTGCTGACCACCGGGTGGAGCAAATTCGTCAACAATAAGAAGCTCGTGGCCGGCGATTCGGTGGTGTTCATGAAGAACACGACGGGAGACATGTTCGTCGGGATACGGAGGGCGGTGAGGAACAGCGGCGTGGACTGCGCCAGGTGGAGGGAGCAGATTGGCGGCGGGAGGCTGAAGGCAGAGGAAGAGAGTGCTCTGAGGGATGGATTCTCGAGGAACGGCCGGGGGAGGGTGCCGATGGAGGTGGTGGTGAATGCAGTGGAGACGGCGGCGCGGGGGTTGCCGTTCGAGGTGGTTTACTATCCGAAGACCGAGTGCTCGGACTTTGTCGTGAAGGCGGAGCGGGTGGAGGAGGCGCTGAAGTCGCTTTGGACGGCAGGGATGAGAATCAAGATGGCGGTGGAGGCCGAGGACTGCTCTAGGATGACGTGGCACCACGGGGTGGTTTCCTCCGTCGGTGTTGCTGAGAATGGACTGTGGCGGGGCTCGCCATGGCGAATGCTTCAGGTATGTATAGTCGTCATCCCTGTTGTTTTCATTCACGTATTTGTCGGTATAATCTTGTGCTTTTCAGGCCATTTGTCCGCATGAACTACCTTGCTTTTGAGTCGTGCCATGATATGCCTTAAGATTGTTAAGGCATTTAATGTACATATCTGAACCTCTCATTGAAACATGACGTGTTAATTTCTGAGATTGGAATTCATTAAAGCATGATGTGATCTTTTCTAGATTGGAATCTACGACTTTAAGGCTCTGGAGATTGGTCTCTTATAGTCATGACTTTGCCTTCTTTGAACTCCAGACTCTTCTGTAGCTCTTACCTTAACAATCTACTTAATTAGGGCATCCTTGATTCTGCATTATCATCATCTGCAGCCAAATTACGACGGCTGTAGTCTGTAGATTTTTTTCCCCACGAAATGTGTATGTTGAAATAGGTATGTTTTGTTAAAGTAGTGCGATAGTTTAATTGCTAGCATTCCCTTGAATGAGCCATTGTATGATTAGTTGTCTTTTTTCCAGTGCATGGATGTTATATTTCTGTTTTGTGGTACTATTGGATCTTCTTTGAAACTGGTCAAGACCACTTAAACTATTTGTCACTGAGTTGCATATCTGGTTTGACCTCTTGTTGTCCTCCAGTCTCTAGTTTGTCTTAAATCGAGCAGATATTAACAACATAAAGTTAAAAAGAATTTGGGGTCAGAAAACTCTGTTACCCAAAAAATGTTAAAACATAGATATGGTCTAATGCTTAAAGCATGTAGGTTCTTAAGCTTTCAGTCTTTTGTATGTGGAAATGTAGTTAAGTATTGGTGTCAGTGGTTAATAAAGCTCTGTAGTGGTTTATCTGCTATTGCTGATGACCATCATAGTAGAAACAGTAGCACTAGACACAAGTGTTATACTTTTTCAACAAAATATGGAGGTGCTATCCAGAAAACAAATCTGTAAACTTACCGATTGGTCTGTTACAGGTTACATGGGATGAACCTGAAGCTATGCAGGATAAGAGGTCTGTGAACCCTTGGCAGGTTGAATCCATTGGACCTGGATCGCCCCTTGATTCGGTGTATCCTCCAGTGAAGAAATTGAGAGTTCCTCTCAGATCTGCTTTGGGAACCGAAGGAGAAACCGGTCACTTTTTCGATATGGCTGGATTTACTAATTCTATGGTGCCCTACAGTTCATCATTTTTCAACTATAACACTCCCATTGGCATGCAGGGAGCCAGGCAAGATGCGTCTAGAGCATTTGGTTTAGTGAACTACGTGGATGAAAATTTCCCTATGTACACCTGTAATATCTTTGGCAACAATGTGGTGCCAAAGCCAAAAGCTATCTGCACTGATCTCAATATTGGCAGTTCAGCCTCTGAAACCTTATCAACTGATAGCCCGAGTAGCGGGCATTCCTTTGGCCTAGAAATTTCTGGAAATCTGCACTCCAATACTTCAAAGATTGGCGGTGGTTCTTCAATCCAGCTATTTGGTAAGACTATTCATGCACAGGAGCCTGCTGAAAGCAATTTAGACGGTGTTGTTAGCCCACCAGATGATGGCTCCAAAAGGCCTGGTGAAGCTGGATATGTGAGCATACCACCGGATCTTTCTTTGACCTGCCTGCAGGCACAGTGACCAGTGTCAAAGAGCCTCAGTTGTTTAAACTTTTCTTCTGTGAGTGTGAGGTTCAGGCTGTGGGTTGCAGATATATAGGTGTACAGGTACGTTCTCTCCAATATGTACACCCTGTTTATTTTCCTTCAGCAACAGAGAAATTTATGTGACTGAATGATTGATATGGTACCTCCTCCGATTGTTAACAGATTTAGAGTTCTTATGTTAATTTTCCCAGTATCTTAAGAGGAGATAGGAAATGAACTGAAAGTTTAGCTAGAGCTGCTAGCTATTTTCTTTTTTGGCGGCAAAGTTCACTTTGGCGACCGTACTATTCCACATCTGATGAGCTAAGAAAGCGTATCTTTTTTAACAAATTGTGATATCACTGGATGCTGGATTTAAACTAGTACTGTTTATTGGTGATTAGTCCTTTGCCTTTACACCCTAGATGTGATTTTGCACGAAGCCCACGGTGAACTATCACAGTGAAATTACCAGAACTGCATTCGAAATGCACGTTGACCACAAGCATGACATATTTGGCTTCTTATTCTGTAGCTTGGTAATGGCAAAAAGGGAAAAATGTAATAAAAAAGAATCTGGATCCTGGTGTCACGTTTATCGGGACGGCTAGTATACAATGGATCGAATATGCCAGTAGCATCAAATTAATTCAAAGTGTGTAGGTTTTTTGACCTCGAGCATATGCCCTTCATTTTGTGCGGGAAAACGGTTGTTGAACTAACAATTTCATGTGATAGGCCTCGTATATTTCTCTGTGTCATTATTGTGAGGTTTCAATTAATCATCTCCACTTCATGCAAGTTTCTGTGACTCCTTTTTGCTCGTTGGCAGGTGGATAGCTTTTCAGGAACTTTGACTCGACTGACGAGTTTTGTCGCGGGGGAAGCAGAAGCCCATCCTCTTGCTTTAGGTAGTTAGGAAAAAGTCCACGGCGCTCTCATCCGACGAGCGCAAAGTATTAGTGTAAAGCCCCAGTGCGGTTATGTCGGTTTTCAGACATTTTAGAACTGCTGATAGACTGTTGTTTGATGTTTTTTTCCAATCAACTGTTCAAAGCTGCCATTGCATTGTTTGCTACTATAATCTCCTTTTTTGCTGTCCTCTCTAAGAAAGTTGTCGAACACGGATTCGCAAACTGACCTTGCCGTGTGCACGGGCATTTCTATGGTCTCTCGAGGGACCAATCTCCGGTCATTACTTGTATGTTTTCATTTGGGTGGCAACCCCTTATATCGTAATACCGAAAGAATGAACATGGGTTACGGTGCATTGCGACAGGGAATCGGTTCCTTGAGGATCTACAAAGAAACACCTGCCATGCAAATTTCGTTTGCTGTACGAGCTTTTTACCAAGAAAAAGTAGATGTGGCTTGTTCTTCCTCTATACACATTAATTTAGATCTGCCTTTGGGGATTCTCGTGAAAAAATATATAGACCTAAGTTTGGGGGATGAGGGTAAAAGAAAATTATTAAATAAAACCTATATATATAAATCCTAATGTCGGGGTGAGTTTCCTCGGCAAGACCTACCAATCCGGTTTTAGTAAACTCGTTAATGACGGGTCCACAGTCGGGTTAATCTCGGAGCGCAGGTCTGAAGTTCGAAAGTTAGTTGGTAAGGGAGAGAAGGTAAAACCACCAAAAAATTCCAACTATGTTTATTGCGACATAGCGACTCATTTATCCAAATTGAATAGTAACATAACAATTGAATAAACTAGAGTGGGAGAGTTTTTGAACGTTTAGCCTATTTTCAACCACCCTGAAAACAATCCACGTGAAATTAGTGTTTTGAAAATCGAATTCAAGATTGAACATGATTTCGAGGTGTACGCAATGGATTGATTCGGAAACCGAACCACAGAAGTTAAATGATATGGCTCCGTTTGGTTCGGCAATTGGAATGAATTTTGGGTTTTTGAAGTCCTTTTAGCAAATGCAAATAGCATATGATTCGTTTTTTTGGAGAACTTTGGAAAATGCAATTGAATTTCCAAAAGCCTCTAAAGGCTTTTAACCCAAGATAGATTCGGTGATACTTTCGAAAGTAACATTATCGGAATGCAAGTATTGACGCGATTCACTATTCATCTTTCCAGCGGTTTGCATAGAAGAGTTGGATGGATGGAGGTTGGCGACCGGGTTCTCGCAACCCAAGCGATGCTTGAGGTTGCGCTACCTCAAGCAAGGTTGGTGGGCCGCTGAGTTTCACCATTTGATAGTTTTTTTTTTAAAAAAAAATTTGCAAAAGCCCTTTACGATATGCAATTTTTACCAAACGTCATTTAGGTCAAAGTTACATCCTAATGTGTTTTTAAAATGCGCTTTACCAAACACAACTTGGGTTTCGAAAAATACCTTCAGCCCAAAAGTCTTTACATTTTCTTAAAGGCACTGCTTCAAACCTAACCATACGCACCCATAGCTAGTTATTAAAATCGATTCGACCAGCCGGTCTGATGTGGTGTCCGAGACGCTGCCTGAAAAAACCGAAGCGGTCCAACGGCTAACCAAAAATGACCGGGCCGGTTCGACGAGGCCGGTTCGGGTTATTGGGGGGCCTCCGGTCTATTTTTTGAGCCCCTCTTCCTAGCTTCTCTTCCATTGAACGACTGCGGAGCAGCGTTTTTTTTCTGGGGTCGAAGAAGCCTTTCGAGAGAGCAATCCATGGCGGCTTCCATCTCCGGCTACTGCAACCACGCTCTCTTCCTTCCTCTTCCCCCTCGCCTCTCTGCTTCGAAACCCTCCGGAGCTATGGATTCCGTCTCCCTGTCCGCGTTCCGGGGCGGCTGCTCCGCCCTCGCCGGAGGGCGCGCGCGCGCAGCGGGTCCCCTTTGGTTCCCCGAGCCGCGCCCGACTCGAGCGAGCAAGGGCCGGCGGCGGCGCCTCGGACTTTCTCCCGCTTCTTCCCGCGACGCCCCGAAATCTATCGTACGCTTTCTTCTCCCTTGCCCTGCTTCGTACGGCGGGGCTAGTCGTGATTGACGCGTTGCTGTTCTGTTTCGCGGTGGAACTTTCGGCTCCAGTACATATGAATCGCTGTCAATTCTGTTGGTTTGTTGTCCCTCGGCATTTGCATATCTGGTTTGCGATGTTTTAAGTCTCGAGAAGTGTCGTGGTGGTTCGAGTAAACAGCACAGGGGTTTATAGAAGGGCGCTCTGTTCCTTTGAAAAGTCTTTTGGGTTATGGTATGGGATATTGGGGATGTCTGACCATGGTGTCTCGAAAATCATCGAAACTAGCGGGCAGTAGCTTTAGTTGGCCTCCTCCGGGTACAAGGTTTGAGCGTCGTCCGATAAGGGTTTGCATTTCTGTTTTTTATGCTGAAAAATGTTCGAGACATGAGTTCTGATACACTATGGGGGTGCCGGAAATCAGAATATGTGGTGAGGACGTGCAATGGCTCCTCCATGACCAATCGTTCCACCGACAGGTTTACGATATTGAATGCTGAAGCTGCGTCTGCTCCTTGTATGTTATGCTGCCATACTCATTTGAGATTATATTGTAGTTGTTTAGTCCACCTAACAAAAGAATTTGTTAATACTTTAACTTACTAGCACAAGAATAACATTGAATAGTCAGGGTTCTCTTATATTAAATCAACAATATGGTGCTTTATTTTAGCTCTAGTTTGTGAAACATGCAGGAGCCAAACAAACTAAAAAATTAGAATAACATTGTTCTAAATTTTGATCAACTTATAGTTGCTTCAAGGTGGAATTAGTATCTCTTTGAAGGAACTTGATATAAAATGGTCCGTGCCTGTATGGAAATATAAGTTTTTCTAATATAGGATTTCGCTGTAGAGAATTTTCTCGAATAGGCCAATTTTTGGGATGGTTTCCTACATTTACAGTTCTTGTTTTCTTCTCTTTAATTTGATATATCTGCAAGTGGCTATCAGTCTACCTATGAACTAGCTGCTTTGGTTGTGTACTTCTCCTTCCAGTTTGACACTCACACATCACTTGAGATGCCTAAAATTCTCAACTTTTAATGCGAAATTGCTTTTTAGATGTAGGGAAACGGATGGTAGTTGGAGGGAAGTACTTACTTCATGACTAATTTTATATTTGTATCTTAAAGTGAGAGCATTTGAAGCGAAATAAAATTGTAACACTCCCAAAGTATAAGTGCCATTTCTAAAGCTTTAGTTCTCTTCATTCATATCTTCTTTTGATGCATGTCTTCACTTATAGCTAGCCAACAAACAGCAGATGAAAGCTCTGCTTTCCCATCAACAGCTGTTTCCCTATGATTAATTTCCTTGATAATGTAGAGAAAGTTTGAGTCACCTCGTTTGTCCTTTCTCTTTAGTGCCTCGTTGTTTTTTCATGTTATATATATTTTTCCAGTTGATTAGCTGTGATTGTTCTCTTTTTAAGTTGCAACAGAGATTCAGTTGCAGATTGAGAAAAAGGAAGAATGATTTACTATTTTGTGACTAAAAGTTTTTGGAAAAGTTCTCAGGAAGCCAAATGCTGGCTAATCCCGTCAGATGCCAGAACTTCTTTCTTGCTGCTATGACTGATGATACAACTGTTGTACCGGAAAGATCAACAGCACATGATATGCCTGAATCTGAACATAGTCACAATAATCCCCCTGCTACTGAGCGAAACGAAAAGGATAATAGTAGTGACCTGAGCTTGGATGAGAATAAAATGGTTCGCGTATGCGACAAGCTGATAGAGGTTTTCTTGGTTGATAAGCCCACTCCAACTGACTGGAGAAGATTATTAGCTTTTAGTAAGGAATGGAGCCATATCCGTCCTCATTTCTTCAGGCGTTGTCAAGAGCGAGCCGACAACGAAGACAATCCGGGGATGAAACATAAGCTGCTTCGGCTTGGTCGGAAGCTCAAAGAGGTGGCCTTTGCCATTCATTATCTTTTTTTTTGGTCGATATTTCATTATCTGAAGATATGAGATTTTGCATTTCAATCTGTTATACAGCTTCACTAGATTTACAATTTTCAAGGAATGAAAGTTAGCCTGCACCTGGTATCCTTTGTATTGCAGCTTCAAATGTCATACCAATGAATTGTTGCGTCTCTTTAAATTATAGCCTTTCTCTAAAAATTTGGCATCTTGTTTGTTTGGACTTCTCAAAAGTCAAAGGCAACCGTTTGCTTTCTCGCCAAAATTTAGAATTGCTCAAATTATAAGAAATTATGAAAATCTTATATGTCAATCTGTATGTCCCTATCATATATTGTGAAATTTCAGGTGCTTAAGATTGAAAGAAAAGTTTGAGGAAAGCAAAATGTAAAAAGTAAACGTCACTTAATCAGACCATCAATTATTTCTGACTTTATTTGGTGGGTTCCCTTGGTTTTTTCTCTGCAGGTAGATGAAGATGTGCAAAGACACAACGAGCTGCTTGAAGTGATAAGAACTGCTCCATCAGAGATAAATGAGGTTGTTGCGAGACGCCGGAAAGATTTTACTAAAGAATTTTTCGTACATGTTCACACTGTAGCTGAATCCTACTATGACAACCCATCAGAGCAAAATGGTGAGACTTAGTACTTTTTATCTAACCTTCTTGTGATTGATTAATGTGGTGGATTATAATTTCTATTACAACCCATCTGAGCATAATGGTGAGACTTAACACTTCTTATCTAACCTGCTTGTGATTGATTAATGTGGTGGATTATAATCTCCGTTGCTCAATGTATCCAATAAGAAGCAATGGTGGTCAGTTTCAGCTAACTGCCAACAAGGCATCCCTGATATTATGCATGCCAAGTTGTTTTATGTGCTTTTGTGATGCAGCTGCTGATGGCAAATTTAGTAATTGGTGTACACTGTGCTATGTAAACTAAGTACCTTCGTGGTGACTGAATCATATGGAAATTTCATGATTTTAAGCCCTGGAGCAGACCTGTGTTCCACTTTGAGCATGACGAGATCTCTTTTGCTTTCTGTATTATAGCTGTTGCGAAGCTTGGGAACATGTGTTTGGCTGCGGTACAAGCTTATGATACGGCAACTGAAAGCATTGAAGCACTCAATACAGCAGAGTTGAAGTTTCAAGATATTATCAACTCTCCCTCATTAGATGCGGCTTGTAAAAAAATAGACAATCTAGCAGCAAAAAATGAACTTGATTCGGCATTGGTGTTGATGATTACAAAAGCATGGTCAGCAGCCAAGGAATCAAACATGATGAAAGATGAGGTAAAACTGTTCTTAATCTAACTTTTTATTTACTATCGCTTGATTGGGAATGCGTTTGTGTGTCAAAAGTGGCATTTAGGAGGAAAGGATGGGGAATAGAAATTTGATTCTGGGAACTGGGGGAATTCAGAGGATCTATTCCATGATGAGTTCACTCATTGTAGTTCTTTTCATCTATTTTACTAAAACCTAATGGTAATTAATAATATACTAAATTCGACTGTCTTGAGCCTATCTCAATCTCAATGTAGCAGTTTTTTAGTGAACACTTCACGGTACTAGGCTAATGGCAGTTGATATACTTTTTCATAATGTTCTTTTAATATGCATTTTGATGGGTCAATGCATTCCTCATTTTTTGGGGGAAAACCAGGGAAATTTTTTTTTTCGTTTTCCTGCTATATTTCATTGATTTTAATATGCAAATGGGCGTCCCACAGTTGAATTTACTTTTCCATATTTTGCTATGGATTAAAGCTGCAGTCCCTCAGCTTCAAGTTTATGCAACGCTACCTCCAAATCCTGTCTCGTCAAACGGATTGGGAATGAGTTTGTGGAATTTTCTAAAATGCTTGTTTTAGTTGGTCATGGTTTCTTCTTCTTTCCAGGTCAAGGATATACTGTATCATTTGTACATGACTGCAAGAGGCAACCTTCAAAGACTGATGCCAAAAGAGATAAGGATTTTGAAGTATCTCCTCACCATTGAGGATCCTGAGGAGAAAGTTTCTGCCTTGAAAGATGCATTTACCCCGGGAGAAGAACTTGAAGGGAATGATATAGACTGCCTCTACACGTACGTATGGGGAGTATTCCTTGTCTATTGGTCAAGTCGCGAATTGCATGTCTGTCAATTGCATTGCACGGGCATTGTGAGTTTAAATAGGAAAATGCATCAGGCGAGAGTAATACCAACAGAAACATCTAGGAAAAGGAGTGGAAGCTATACAAAAGAAATCATTGAGGGATGGATCATTGTAAACTCCTTGAGTTCCATTTTGCTGTGGCATATTCCAACTAATTGAAGAGCTGCCCCCGATTCTTATATTGTAGTAATAGAAGGCTAGTTATTTTCGTTAGATATGTCATAATTGTTTCGTTTCCAATCCGCAGGACTCCAGAGAAGCTTCACACATGGATAAGGACAGTGATAGATGCATACCATTTCAGTCAAGAAGGTACTCTTATAAAGGAAGCTAGGGATTTGATGAACCCGAAAATTATTGAAAAGTTAGAGGAACTGAAGAAGGTAGTCGAAGACCAATACTTGTGAATATCAACGACGAGTCTTTCTGCAGATGCTGATCCAGCGGTGGCCATATTGAACCAAGGTCACTTAGTTTCTCAGACTGTATGCTTTATCTTTTGAATTGTTTTCGGGTGTATGATCACATGTCCTATCCTGAAAAAATCATGTCCATTAAGCTTCACCGTAGTAGATGCTGATAGGTTCGACATTTTGTTCTACAATTTTGTCGTATGCAGTGTATGCGGATTTGTATCCTCTGTATCTGTACAGTCGGCCACCGCATAATTTGCAAGCTAGGGGGTGTAGAAGTGTTTGGAATTGTTCCCGCTTCACTCTCACCCGAGGAAAATGATCGTTTGCTTCTCTATCTGTAGATGCTACTGCCCTCGAAGCGACGGAGGCTCCTCTTCACTAAGATGAAGCAATATTCAGTCAACAAAGGGTGTTTTGAGATGCACAGAAAGCGGTGCTTCTCGATTTTGCAGGTGAAGTGTTATCTTAATGAATTGGAACAGAAGGAACTCTCAGAAGTCCATTGTTTAGCTTCTAAATCAGTTTGTCAGACACCGGAAGCATATCTCTTGTGCTGGGGCGTCGCAGTCGGCTTGTGGTTGTGCAATCATTGTGATAGTGGCTCCGCCACTGTTACTTCGTCTTCCTAAGTTCTCGCGCTATCATGTTTGAAAAGAGAATTATGCGGGGAATTAGTTTCTTTCCAAACTTTTCATTGCAAAATATATATGGCAAAAGAATGATTTGTTCGAGTTATCAATGTTCTTGATTTTGTTAACAAGGAAGAATTGTAGTTAAAACCTAAACCCAAACTCAAACTAAGGGCGTTTTTGTTTTTGGGAAAACTTAATTATAAAATAAAAGCTTTTTGAGAGATCATTTTGTTTCATTTCCTCTAACTTCAATGTATGCATGCTTTTTTTAAACCGCAAGTAGTTTTTTGTCAACTGACCTGACCATTTTCAGCAAGCCAAACGCGAAAGTCCAGTTCGAAACGGAAGACTTCAGAAATGATTTACGTGAATTGTATGCGCCCTGCTCCTCGTTGCACATAGTGTGCATTAAATTTTCTAGTTCCAGGACTTAGCGGAATCAATTCTGCCGTGCCTTGATAAAAACATATGGACATATATCTTCGCAACGATAGAATTCATTTAATATTGGTAAGTATAAAAAATTTGTTGGAAAGAAAAGGAAACCGGTGACTTCTTCGCTTCTATAAAAACAATAACTCTATTCATAATTTACAAATAAGCGACTTAACTCTGATTAAGTTATGAACTATTGGATTAACAACTCTCATCGAATCACTTCTTCGATAAAAAGAGAGATCTTAAACAGGAAGGAGAAACAACTCCACCTATATATCTAATATCATAGATGTCAAAATGTGAAAATTCTCATTTTGAAAATTACATACAAAAGGCGACGTATCCAGTTAATTAGGGAACAGTAACCAAGATAAATACTAAAAATCTTCGCATTATCATTCTTACATCCGCAGCTTATCATAAAAAGAAGGGATAAGTGCACTACAAGTCCTAAAACTTATCACAAAAGTGTATTTGAGTCCTAAAACTTACAAAAAGTGCAATTGAGTCATAAAACTTGTCAAATTGATTCAATCGAGTCCTAAACTTTAACACCGTTAAATTTACTAACGGAAAACGTTGACGTGGCACTGACGTGTCATATTTTATTACTTTTATTGGGACACGTGGCAATGATGTGGCATCCAATAAGCGCCACGTCAGCAAAAATAAAAATTAAATTAGAAAAAAGCTATAAAAAAAAAAAGAGACCCCAATCGGCAGTTGCGGCAGTGGCCGCGCCCTCGCCGGTGGCCGCGGCCACAGCCGCCGGGAAGGGCCGGCGGAGGTCGCCTGGGCTTTCCCAAAGCCCGGCGACCCTCGCCGGCCTCGGGCGAGGCCCCACCGGTCCCCGGTGATGGCATGAAACCCCCGGTCTGGGGGGAGGGCGCGACCCTCGCCTCAGATCTGAGTGAGGGCCGGCGAGGTCTCGCCTGGGGTCGCCCACCCTGGGCGAGGCCTCGCCGGTCCGCGTTGGCCCCAGGCGAGGGCCGCCGACCCTTGCTCAGATCTAGGGCGAGGGTCACGCCCTCCCCCAGATCGGGGGCTGCAGGCCCTCGCTGGGACTCGCCCGGGGCCGGCGAGGGTCGCCGGGCTTCGGGAAGGCCCAAGCGATCTCCGCCGGTCCTTCCCGGCAGCTGTGGCGGCAGCCACCGGCGAGGGCTTGGCCACCGCCGCTGCTGGTTTAGGGTTTTTTTTTTCTTTTTTTTGTTTTTTTTTATAGCTTTTTCTAATTTAATTTACATTTTTTTTAACTTTTTCTGACGTGGTGCTTGTTGGACGCCACGCATCTCAATAAAAGTATTAAAATATGACACATCAGCGCCACGTCAATGTTTTTCGTTAGTAAATTTAACGGTGTTAAGTTTAGGACTCGATTGAATCAATTTGACAAATTTTAGGACTCAATTACACTTTTTGTAAGTTTTAGGACTCAAATACACTTTTGTGACAAATTTTAGGACTTGTAGTGCACTTATCCCTAAAAAGAAAAACACATGTTTAGAAAGAATGTGCAGCATAAGACCGGGAATGAAGTATCTTTTTACATACGTCTTGCCGAAAAACTGCAAATTCTAAAGGATTCAGAGTCACCTTATTCTAGCAAAATAGAAGGGATTCCAAATCTCCTCAAGAAAAGTAGAGTGTAGCAAGAAAGAAACGAAATGCAGAGCAGAGGACACTACGTTTTGTGGGACAAAAGCCAAACTAGATCACCTGCACAAGAAGGTTTAGTTTAAGACTGCGGATTTTCCTCGCACGCCATTGCCTACTGGGCAAAAACTTGTCATCCCCACCCCCACCACGATGCAAGTGGGAAGCCCAAGATCGGCGACACACCGAGCCTAAGTTCCTTCTTCGTAGACTAACCGAGGTTTCCCGCGATCGATGATAGATTGGGAAATTGAACCTGTGACCTTGTCTTGCAAAACGAGTCTTGAGCCACTCGACCAACCACCAAGGTGATGGGATAAGACACCACACGTGAAAAGGTTATGGCAAGAAAAACTAAATAAACCATCAACACGGTTTTCCATTTACTAACAAATTGTACTGTCATAACTAAGGATCTGTTCAATAAAATGTCTCTCCAAGTGAAATCACTAATGGGCAATATGCTCTAAGAATGAGTGCCTTTTATACATAAAATCAAGTATTGATCATATATATCGACTTCAATACTTATAGTCCATAATGTCAGAATATCTCCATTCTTCACCAATTTATCTCAATTTACAGAAACAACCATATAACACCAAAATTCAGCTGATGTTAAAAGGCAAAGTTAAAAGGTTTTTATTTTTCACAAGCAAGTTTTTCCTTGAAAAAGATAGAAGTAAATAAAAAAAATAGCAACTTCCAAACCATAAGTTGGCTTGTGGGAATAGAAAATTTTGAACAGCACGCGGCACAAGAATTTGCTAAAGCAGCAGAAAAACAACCGGATAAATATTGCATAGCCATAGGACAAGAAGCATATTGATGTTCCTTAACTTTCACTTTTCTCCACTCACTGAAAATGAAATACAAATTATTAGTAAATTACTTACCTGCCTTGAGAGGGGCAGTGCTCTCTTGCCAAACAAAATTCATGAGCGGCAATGTCCCATCCTTCATTCTGTTGGAGCAGAATAAAGCGTCGAGCTACATGATATACTTCAGACACATCTAGAAATCATGTAACGTTATATAGACAATCAACTCCCATCTCACATAATGGAATAAAAACTTTCAGCCTATGCCATACTTCCCTTGAAATTATGTGCTTGCTTTTGTTCATCTCTTTATTCTTTCCTGGGGAACCAAAATCTAGGGCTTTGAACTGAAAGTGTATCTCTTGCCATCGTCTGCCAATGGACATTGAAATAACACCTATCATTTTTAAAAGGAAACAGCCCTGCACAATCATCATCATCAAACATTCTGACCATTGAATAAAACCATATTGAAAATGTAAGATCTGCTAACAGTTATACCACAGATAGAGATGTTTAGCCATGACCAGTAAAAAAGACACTCACATCTCCGCTGGTCTCATGGAAACTGTGGACTGGGAATTTCTAGAACTGTAACTAGAATCAACAGTGATGCTGATATTATAAACTGCAAGTGAGCCACATATATAAAGGCAAACATGGACTCCAATGGAAAACGTAATCCGTCTCCAACAAACACTGAAATGGGTAACACTCAAAAAACTTCAAGAACTATAATATTTCTTTCCGTTACTCTCTTTTAGAAAGTATTACAGCTACAAGAATTAATATTATAGTTGCCTCAAGAGCACCAACAATGTCGTTTTGTACTCAAAGAAACTGGAATAGATAACATAAATGCTAAGGCAAAGAGGTATTGCCAAACACTACAAAAACACCTGCCCTAAGCAGTCATTATGTAACAGAAATTGATCAATCGTGACAATTAGTAGTATCTATGACAGGTTGAACTTCTCAACAATTTATATTTTCATGAGCGAGAATCTTCTACATGAATCGAATGTTTCTCAACTAGCAGTTTGATGAGGGGATCCTCCACATCACTGCCAACCTGGGTCTTGTCCCGGAAAACTGAAACCTTTTCATCACCTGTGACGACAACGACCTCCTCTTTCCGAGTTAAAAGCTCATTGGCCACTACAACATGCATGTTGTACTTACTAAGAGCCATATCTGCCTTCTTGAGCAGGATGTTCTTATCAGTCTCTAGCTGTCATTTAGCAATAGAAAAATATCTGTATCAGGGATTCGTATTAAGTCTCAAGTCAAAGATAAGCTGGGTAATACCTTTTGCAAAAATCTTAGACAGGAGAAGAAAGTAATGTCCAAATAAAGAGTTCACATTGCTGCCAGGGAAAATTTGCAGCTGGCTCAGGCGAGCAGCAGCTGAGGTGCCAACTTCTACTTGTTGCTATGACAAGGAAAGGGAGGTTGTGTAATTACTCCAGCATGCATTTGTTAAACTATTTTCTATATTTCTAGGACCTTCACTATCTATTCAATCTTCTTGCTGGCACGTTACAATTTAGTCGCAAATGCTACAATTGTAGAAGCTATGCTGTAAGCAATTCTATTTCCCTGAATCAGTAAAGAATTCAAATAATGATACAGCTAAAATATTTTCCAAGGATGGTAAATCAGTCACTATGTTTAACATATTTAACTTTAACTGGACTATGAGAAAACCTTACAGGACAGATATTTTTACAGGGTAAGTGGCAAAGAAACGGTTTTCATTGTGGACAAACACGACATTGTTTTCACTTTTACCGCAAATTTAGACATTTATCTTCATTAAACTGCAAGGACAATAATGTTTGATGCTGTTTTACTCAACGTCAATAACAATCATCCATGAAATGTAAAAGGATCCTCCATGGAGAGGGTTCTTTGTTAAATGGATGAGTATCCTCCATGGATTGGGTTTTTTGGTCACTAGAATTGGACGATTTGTCCCTCCTGACATACATGCTATTAAATTTATTTTAATGATATATGGACAGTAAACTTCAATAACTTCTAATGAAGCTTGTCATTGCATCAGAATGGATAGATGGCAAGTAGCTGACCTTAAATGAAATGCAATATGCAAATGGAGCCCACTCTTTTCTCAAGACAGCTAGCATTTTTGGAACTTGAACCAGACTCATATCAAGCGGACCTGATCCTGACTGGATCTTGTGTTCTGCCTGTACAAACATACAAGTTCCCAAGTTAAGAGAAGGGAGTACAATATCAAGATTAAGAATACTCTAATTATGTTTTTAGCTATCTATACACTTAAATGAACTAAGATTACAGTTGGTAAGCAAATGTGAATTTAGCCAGCCAAAGTGACAGAGGAATCCAATTTACTGGCTTAAAGCTAGCCAGGCTAATCTTAAAACATTGCGATGATGACTAAAAGTATACTTGCTAGTAACTAATGCTAATGCATAGTGTAAGAAGAACCGGTTCTTCTGACTTTACCTCCCATGAGAGAGAATTGTCTAGGTATTCCTATTCACTTCAGGAAGCATTCAGGGACACAAAGATTTTGCAAAGATAACCCTCGGACAGCTTTGACTCCTCAGAGGATGTCATTCAAACATGAAAGTAGCCAAATGACAAGTAATGATTACTTAATTCACTTGGGACTATAAAACAGGGACATTATCATCTATAGATATGGCAAAAGGGGGGACACCAATGTAACTTCCCAATTTAAGCAACAGAACTCCACAACGAGGGCATCCATTTACTTGACATTAACACATGGAAGCAGGAAAAGCTCTAGTCCAAGTTTTTTTTCCAAGAAACCGCTACTGCAAAATGAATTGAAAGAGTTTCGGCAAAGTCCTAAACAATTACCATGCTTTTCCAAGGGACATAAAAATCAGATACTGCAGCTGCGAGATAAAACATTGCATGTGGCCCAAGAACCTTAAGTGATGTTGCAACCATCTGTAGCATCTGCACAAACCAAATCCTTGTTATGGAGAGCAAATTCTTTCAGTATGCTTGAACAACCAGATCAAAGAGCAATGAATTTTCATAGTGGAATAAAGGCTGCACCAATGAGTAAGCAGCAAATGTTCTAAACCTTCATTGTAAAGAGAAAGGTCCTCTAACGGATACAACAAGACCGGGGAAATGAATCAAGTTGTAGGAATTTTACATTAGAAACAGAGAGACGCCTTATGCAAAACTTCTCATGTCAATCATAATTTTATAATGCAGGGTCAGTGTTAATTTCTTTGCAATCTAAAATCTACATCTAACATTAATGAGATGCTCTGAATGAGAGTAAACAACCATTCTAGTTTGTTTCATATTGAGGAAACATATTTGGATTCTTAGAATTAATAACCTACCTTATATATCAGTCCTTGCCATGTTAATTTTTTCATATTATTCTTGCTTAGTCCAAGCAGACAAGGGAAGAAAAAAGGAGGGGGCTGGGGCCTATGAAGCATCAAAATATTAATAAGCTAATCATTGAATTCACTGCACAAGCAACGAAAATGCATCGAACTAATAATTTACATTTGTTGAAGGAACTTGTGGGTTAAGCCGACTATATAGAGAACATACATGTCTTCAACCTATCGAAAATAGGTAAAGCGCAGCAATTTTATGCATCATAGGACATTCGAAAATGCATACCTAAAACCATATCAAATGTAGCTAAATCAATGTTCAAAGGACACTCATTAACAATTTTCGAAAAGAAGGTGGTATGTCAAACATTAGAAAAGTTCATAAGCTATGTAATGAAATCACCAATCAAGAGATCAAAGTGCATTTAACATTTTTTAAAAGAAACATCAATGGAAGCAGTCTGCTGACGCAGCGCACCACATAAAGTTGCTAAGATGGCATTGTGCATAATTAACTGAGAATAAAAGTCTAAGAGGAACTTTCTCGATGTTGCTCAAGTAAATTTCATCTTACTAAGAACATAAAAATTAGTGATGCAAACCTGAAGATATTCAAAAATCGTTGTGAAGGTAAGTTTCAGCAATTGTCCTTTTTCAACCGCCTAAAATTGGATATAGCCACATAGTGAATCAATATCAAAATGAACCAATGTACACCAGTACACAAGAAGCTAGTAAAGTCAAACATCATAGGATAGATATAATGTGAAAGAAAGTTTAGAAAACTCAATTTAAGAAGCATGTATGAGTGTTCCATACATTGTGATGATCGCTGATAGCCATCTTCACAGCTTCAGAATGTGGCTCCCTCGCTATAGTTTGAGAGAAAATGATTAAATTGATCATATAATGGGATGAGCATAATTTTTGTAGTTAATATTAAATAGATCACATAAACAAAATGATGGGATGACCATAATTTGAGTGAATATGGAATTATCTGCACAGAAAAGATACATTTTCTTAATGAAGTGCATCATCCTTCTACAGATATAGCAAGACTGAATTCAAGAGGAAGCATATGTCGCAAGTTTATTCACTAAGGGCTAAATAACCTCTGAGTGTTTGTTTGACCACTGCTATCAGAACAAGGTTCTTCCACAGATACCTCAATTAATAGATATAAGAACCAAGGGAAAAGGTCATATTGTAGACTGTTCTTTCCACTTTTATCACCTGAATGAAGTAGCACCAACCTTTAATGTGTGACTCGTCTATATACTCGAAACATTCAAGGAACGGATCATCTGGCAAAGATCTGCAATAAGGCTGGCAGGTTCCCCTGGTTCAAAAGTGGGGAGAAGAGGAAATAAATATTTGACATTTCATCATACAATACCCTCGACTCTTGGACAGAATGATAGTAATCAAGAATCACATGATTAAGTATTTACCTTCGATACAGAAAGATAACCGCATATCCTGCCTTCAAAAAGTACCTGCGACATGTCAGTTGGATTTATTAGTTAAATACTGACTTCGAACAATAGGCAGCGATCTCTCCATTACAGGTGAAGCTGTCATACTCAGTGGAAGCTGCTCCTCGATGGCCTGAGCTGAAGTTATCAATGTAGCGCACGCAGCGTTGCTCTAGAGGGACAGTCGTCCCCCCCGAGGTCACGCAAACAATTCGGCTAGCTCTTCCATCTCCTGCATATAAAAACAAAAAAAAAGAACAGCTCAACAAAAAAGCAAGCGAAGCATCAAAGTGAAGAAGCATAAAGCCCATAAAAGCAACTCACCAGTCGACGACGAATTCTTGTCAAGAAACTCCTTCAACTTGTCTCTGATTTCGAGACTACTTTTCAGCGGGGGAGCCGAGTCGAAAAACGACTGTATCTCCGCGCTAGATGTATGCTCCTCTGCTGCTTCCGAACCATCCTTTGCAGCCATTACAAATTCCTACAGCGCCCAAATCATCGGACAACATCAATTCCCAGAAAACATACAGAAGGAAAAGGAAAAAGGCATTCCTGAACCGACGGGACTCCCCCCAGAAATCCCCAACAGCTAAAAACAAAGACCCAAATGAAAATCCTCCAAAAACACATCAATCCAGCAAAGAGGTTTGCGACCCTGGATGCGTCTACCCATTCTCCAACAAAAACCCAGCAAAATTCTTGCTGATCACTCCGCACCCAATAAGCAAAAGACGATCTTTCCAGCAAAAAGCCAACCAACCGAACAAAAAGAACACCTCAAGACCCAAAAAAGTACCGGAGAAAACCCGAGCCAGAATCTAGCAAATCACCCTCGAAGTCTCCGGAAAAACCGAAACCATTCCGGAGAAAGAAGAGAGCGAACGAATCGGACTCAAGTACCTGAAGAAGGGTGGCGAACGCAGCGCTGGAGTTCGCAAAGAGAGAGAGAGAGAGAGAGAGCGAGAGAGAGAAGTAGAAGAAGAGAAGAAGGAACGGGATGGATGTGAAATTAAAGAAGAGGGGAAAGAGAGTTAGGTAAAAAAAAAAACCAAAATAAAAAATAAAGATAGTCCGGTCAATTCCCGCCAGAATAGACCCGACTAACTGCGCCGTCAATCTTCCACATCCGTTGACTTTCTTCTTCTGCTTTATTCTCTTTCTCATTTTTCTACATTTTCTTCCTATTAATAAGGAAGAACCTAATTAAAAAGGGAATTACTTTGGACCCACACGAAAAGAACCTAACTTGCTTACATCGTTTCGCAACTTGGGATAGATCGAAATACACTTAATTGATCGAATTTTTCTCTTAAAATAAGTTAGGTTTTTATCGGTGTCTGAGGATCTGGTACGTAGATACTACCAGCATACCGTATATGTGTACGTACTTATGTATGAATGTGAGTCGAATTATCAAAAAATATTTCTAAATATCTTGTTGATGTTCAAAATATTCAGCATATCAATTCTATAAAAGTTATTTTCATTAGTCTCAAGCGTCATTAAAGGTATTTTATTTTGAAAATTTGAAAATTATGTACACTAATTTCTCGTTATTTAGGTTTACCACAGTTCCGGTGTAAGAGAGTTAGTTTCTTTTTTATTGAGCGAGTAAGAGATTTATCGAATACTAAAGCTAATGGATTACCAAGCCCAATGACTTAGCATGAACTCTCCCAAATCCTACAAATTGCAACTTTCGAATCAATTTTAATTTAATTATGAGTTATCATTAATCTATTGTGGGATGATTGGTAATCAAGTAAGGTAAATTTAATGCCTTTTCAGTGACTTTTCTTTTTATATTCAAAAATATTTTGCGAACAATCTCAGTTAAATTCGAAATAAACTAAATTAGATAATTAAATGTTTGAATTGAACTTAGTTGCAAAAATTACTTAATTTAGTGGATTTATTTCCAAAAAAAAAAAGACTGGCGGTGAGAGGGCTCTCCGGTGGTAGTGAGCAAGGACCGGCGGTGGGGGGTTTCACGATGATCGACAATGGGCGTTCACCGGCGGCGATGGCGACAAAGAATGGAGCTCACGATAACGGTGAGGGGGTATTCACTAGTATTGATCACAACGGCTGGCCACCGTTGGTGGTGGTGCTCGGAGGTCACCAGGAAAGGAAACCTGCATGGGGAAAATCCAAGAACGGTAGCAAGGTAGCTACGTCCCGGCTCGCGGTGGTTGGCGAAGGCCGTGTGCGGCTTTACTATCCGTCACGGCAAGTTATCGGCGTAGCAAACGACTCGGATGTAGCCCGGCCAGAGTTGTAATCCGCTCGAAGGGCATCTTAGGAATCTGTTGTCGGAAGGCTCGCCAAACGCAAGGATTTGCTGAAGATGCCGCAGGGACCGATGAGGCTAAATGATCGCCGCAAGAACTCACCTGAAAAACGAAGGACCGGAGCTGAGTTTACTCGTTGACGATAGTTTCCTGTTAGAATAGAATTCCTATCCTTCCTATATTGAATTTTGGGAAAATTTCAAATAAGTACATAAAGTGCTATTATTTTCTCAAATAAGGGCATAAAGTTGAATTTGTTTCAAATAAGGGTCTAAGGTAGTTATATCAGTATCAAATAAGGGCCAAACTTATCGGACCGAAGGGCATTTTTGTCAATTACATTTTTTTTTTCCCTTTTTCCCTTTTTCTCTTTCTTTTTTATGTTTTTTCTTTTCCTTTTCTTTTTCCTTTTTTGTTTTTTGTCTCTTTCCTTCGCCGGCCATCACCAATGGCCGGCAGAGGTCACCGAATTCAGGCAAGGGCCACCCTCGCCCAACGCCGGCGAGAGTCGCCCTCGCCCTCACCGGGGCTGGCGAAACCTGGCGAGAGTTGCCCTCGCCGAATCTGTAGTAAACCTAATTAACAAGAAATTAAAGACTAATTAACATTTTTGTTTAGGGGCTGGGATGGATCCCTAACTTTCTACGCAATTAAAGACTAAATAGGTTATCAAAATTTATATGTGAACACTTTTTATTTCAAATTAGTTAGCTGTACAATATTCTTTTGAATGACAAAATGTATACCGATTTATGATTAGATTATTACATATAAAATATTCATATTTAGTCAAATTAAATCAATCACGAAATATTACACATACTTATTTCATAAAACTAAAGAGCTGAGAATATCAAGTAATGATCATTTTCAAATTTATTCGAAAAAGCAAATCTTCACTTCTAACATTTGATAATTTAGGTGCAACAACATTCACAGACTATATTATACATAATTGATTTCTTTTTAATATAAGATTGACAAAAAATACAATACCAAGATGTCATTCCCTCATATTGATGAAAAAAATTTTTTTGGATACAAAGATGGTCTTAAAAATCGCCTATCAACTCTAATACCAAAAATTCGACCCAAAAAAAAAACTCTAATATCAAAAAGAAAACAAAATGTAAACACAACAAATAGAACTTACCCACCAACTCTCCACCAAAATCAAAACAGACAAAGAATGAAAAAAAAGAAAAAAGAAAAAATTGTGGGTTATAATATGTGGATTTGAAATTACAAAAAAGTAAGAACGATAGCAAGAGTTAGATTGCCAAATTGCTAATATCGTTCAAGGATTTGGACATATGAAAATAATCTTGAAAAATCAGCCAAACTTCTAATATTAAAAAGAAAAAAGAAACGAAACGACAAACGCTATGAAAAAAAATTCATCTGCCAACTCTCAACCTAAATGGAAAAGAAAAACGAAAAAAAAAAAAGCACGAAAAATGCAGGACAACATGATAAGCATGGGTCAAAGCCGTTGACCCAACCATTGCCCATGGTCCTCCTCCTCGGGGACACTGGCGACACAAGACACGAAAAGTTCATTCCTTTGACGTTTCTGGCGTTCTTCTTCGAGACGTCTCCAGCCTAAATCCTTGCCCAGATCTTCCTCCACCGCTTCCATCTTCAACCGTTGCGGAGAACCGCCGCCGCCGCCCTCCGCTCCGCCCGGCGCCGCAAGCGGCGAGCTTTCTTTGCTCCGTTAGCCCCCGCGCTTCTCTCGAGAGGGGAATGGCCGTTTTCATCTCCAACCACGCCGTCTTCGTCCCTCGGCTCTCCCCTTCTCCTCCTTGTCCCGTTTCGAGGCGACCCATTTCGCCGCTTCGAAGCTGCGGCCGATGGGAGGCGAGCGCAGGGTTCTCCGCCTCGCTCCCCGGTTTCCGGGCGGTTCGAGCGTGCAGGAGCAGGCCTTCTCCCGGATGCCCTCTCGCTTCTGCTCCTCGCTCTGCCCATTCTTCGGTATGCTTCCTATAATTCGGCTGATTTTTGGGCAGGATGCGCGATGGACGCGTGCATCTGGGGAAATTTTTCGGCTCAATACGAGAACTTTTCGTCTGAATTAGCTTATTTTAGATTCTTGTTTCCATAATTTAGCAGCTTATCTGTCTATACTGTTGGCGTTGGAGTTGCTTTGCTTTAAGTATTTGTTGTGGGTCCTGTTCGGTGAAGTGTGCGGTTTACCCGGATTCTGGTTCCTCTTGCTTATAGTTTCCGCGGTTCATAAATGTATAATAAACTGGGTTTGCATCACTTTCTTGGGATGATCTTGGATATACCAGCGGAGCTGGTGAGCTCTAGTTGGCCTCTTCCTTATAGAAGATATAGTGTGCTCTGGTCATACGGCTCTCCTGCCGTCATATTTTGTTCATAGCTGATAAAACTATTTCTCGAGGAGTTCTAGATAATTTAGGTTGGTCGGTTGATGGAATATCGTGACGAGGAGTGCCAACGGCATCTTCTCCTCCATGACCATCCCGATTCCCTACGACATCAAGTTTTGTCTTTTGGAGATACTGAGGCTGACTTGGTCTCTCGTAGCTGCATAGCTCATGATATGTATTTTTCTGGATCACGTTAGGCTATAAATGAAGGTTCTGGAAATACGACATATGAAGTGGCACATTATCATGCCTTGAATGTTTCAGAATATACTGGTAGAGTAGTAACCACTAATTCCTAGCTTACCAGGATGGACATAGAGTCGGCACATTGCATTTATCAGTACTAAGCTGCCCTTTTTTAAGTGTTGCTTTATGGGCATCATAACTTAAAACTAATCCTTCCATTATATGTTCTTTGAAGTTTGGGATACCAATAGCGACAGCTAATGTGGTCAGACATTTACTTTACATTAATCAGTAACAGTGCCTTCTTGTTCAATTCAAAACTTTGAACAGGGCTGTGCCTTCTAAAATACTTAATCGTTTAAATTACAGTTACCACGGCTCATATAAAAGATTAGTCAAGCACTGTACCGATTATCATACTGTTGCACTATTGGAGCTTTGAACTGGTCCCATCAACAGTGCAAGAGAATGGCTGTGTCATTTAAGAGTGTAGGTTTCACTGGCAATGATACTGATATTTGCAAGGGCCAATTAATGAGTTGCCAAATTTGTTTATATTGGTTGGGAGAAAGGGACGAAGGATATTTTTCATATGTAACTTATCCGTGGATGGTAGATGCTTAGAGAAACGAATCTAGAACTTACTTTGATGCCCGGCAAGCTGTTTGAGGAATCTCTATCATACATTAGGTGAGAATATGTGAGTCTTATGTTAAGCTCAATGGCTCATACTTAAAAAGCCCATGGGTAAACAGTTGATATTGCCAGGAGTTTGAGTAGTTCGATCTCGCAACATACTTTCAGAAATGCCAAAAGTTTTCAGTATGGAATGAGCATGGGATTAGAGGAAATTCTCTTTTCCAGCTGGAATCCTAGTGACACCCACTCTCGAAAGCTCACTTCATGCAGCTGTACAACAAATTATATAGAATTGCAGTTCCCATCTCGAATTTCCAAAGAGGGGAAGTTGAGGCTTACGTGCACACTTTAGACTAAAGCCTTCTAGTATGAGCAGACATCATAAAAAAAACTCTCTTTTCTGGTTTTTTTTTGCTTGTCCAAGCTAGTTGTAGATCAGATTATGCCCAAAAAAAAAAAAAAAAGGTCCTCCTACTAATGAATTTTTAAGGTTAACTATTTTTAAATTGGTTTTACTATCAAAATAGAGAGTATTTAAATCGTATGATTTAACTAGAGTGGTTTGCAAGTTTTGAATGCTTCAAGGGATGATATAGAGTTTTTTCATGAAACCTCAACTTATTACGATGTCCCCTCTAAATCTTACAACCGTTTGGATTGTGGTCTTCAAAGGTCAGTTATGCGATTTCAACCCTATTACTTGAGTGTTTCCTAGTTGCACATGTCACTACCCTGTCCTGATTGAGCAAAATTACTGTAAACTGCCTCTCCCCCTTTTCCTGAATTATAATTTTTCGTTGGATTTACCCTTCTCTCTTTTCCTGAGCAATAAAAATTTTGGTTAGATTTACCAATTGTATTAAGAAATGTACAAGAAAATGGAAAATATTTGGGAAAAGAAAATACGAAACACCTAGTAACAGGATATTCTAATCCAGAAGACCAAAGGTCTATATGAACATTAGATAGCCAAAACAAAACTTTCAGATCCGTCGAATGTTTTTTGTTGTATTCTCTTAAACCGCATAAGACAAAGGACTAAGCGGTATAGTACTGTGAGATTATCTATTTTTAGATAGAGTCAATCACAGAGACATTCTAGCAACCAAATTGCTGTGGATTGCTTTCAGTCTTCACCCAACATAGAGCTGAAAATATAAATCACAACTTGGAAGCAAAGTCATGGAAGGAAAATTTATCAACTACATTATAATGTCTGCACATACAATACCAATTGGTTATGATTAATAATGTTTCCAAGATTCATAGTAGGAAGAATTTTAGTCCAAGCTGTTGTCCAACCGAAGAAGGAAAATTTTGAATGGAAAATGAGAAAGCCCCAATGTTTGAGAGGAGAAACATCGAGGAGAGAAGTTTTCCCAGACCAAATAAGAAGACAAAGTAATTTTACTCTAGAAAAATGTCCTGAACCTGCCAGTGTTTCAGAATGTTTCCTGTGTATCCGGTTTTCAGTGTGTGCGCTTCAGTGTGATCTGGATGTGCAGACTGCCAATCATATGGGATTTGGGTCTACCTATGAGCTATCTGTATTCTGTTTTTGGTTCTCAGTTCTTAAAGTTTGATACTTGCACATAGTAGAAATATCTAACCTTTCTGAGCTTGAAATTAAATCTTGCATTCATAAGTAAAGAGTCTTGCCTTTTCTTCTAAATGTATCAGCCAACTAATTAAATTATTATTTGGTTTAGAAAACTGGTGGGACAGAGACTTCTTCAGATGGTATGAAACCATCTGGGCCTTCAGAGAATATACAGGAGTCAGTCAGCTTGAATAAACTCTTTGAAGTTTTCAGGGAGGCTTTCCTTTCTGGAGATGAGAAGACAGTTTATGAGGTTGAGGCTAGGATGTGCAATATAGAAGTATTGAGAAAGCAACTAGTTGAGCAAGTATCTACTTTATCAGAAGAGATGACTTCTGGTAAAGAGAATTATATCCGACTGCAAGCAAATTTTGATAACTATAGAAAGAGAGCAGAAAAGGAAAGACTTACAATAAGGAGTGACGCCCAGAGGGAGGTAATCGAGAGTCTTCTGCCCATGGTGGATAATTTTGAAAGAGCCAAGCAACAGATTAAACCTGAGACAGATAAGGAAAAGAAGATTGATGCTAGTTACCAAGGTATATACAAGCAATTTGTAGAGGTCATGAGGAGCTTGCATGTATCTGCTATTGCATCTCTTGGAAAGCCTTTTGATCCATTGGTAAGTTTTTGGTCCTTTTATGTAATTGTTTAATTGATGATAATATTTTTTATTAGTCTTTTACATGATTCTATCTATCTCTTGGGTTTGCTTAAGTTTGGAAAGTCCGACGTGAAAGAAAATGGTGTTTCTGTCATTTATCGGCATTGGTTTTTTTCGTCTACTCTAGAAAGATGTCCAAGTATTATGGGTGATAAGGATGTCCTTTTCCATTTGCGTAATGGTCCATTCTGATAACAACTTATGGGATTACAAAAACTGAGGTTGAGAAGATTAAGTTGGCAACGTAATTCGTGTAGCTGTCCAAATATTCCACGATCATCTAGACCCTGGCAGGATGATGTCTTATTCTTTTAGTATAACTGAGTTTCTTACAACTGAAAAGTGTGCTTATTTATTTTACATGAATCTGGGGATTCCGATTCTTTTATGGCAAGATGGTTTTGCGGAATGGAATTATTTGATAACTTAGGCTAAAATAGAATAATTATCTCACATGAATAGGATAGAGCCAGAATAGTTACTCTGAAGGTTTGTTCTCACATAAGCATTCCATGGGCATGATACAGAGAATTATTTGACCTCTAATGCTAAAATAGAATAATTATCTCACATGAATAGGATAGAGCCAGAATAGTTACTCTGAAGGTTTGTTCTCACACAAGCATTCCACGGACATGATACATAGAACAAATCATGAATAACATCAGTACATCGTAGATTCTTACATTATTTTGTTATCACTAGAATAGGATAACTTGGGTGACCTCCCTCCACTGCTTCTCAGCTACCAATCCCACAACCACTGTTTACCACCACCTTTATCACAGTTCCACCACATTTGCCTTGTCCACTACCATCACCACAACTTTCACGTTCATCAGTCCAGGATGTTAACCATCACCGCTGCCACATGTTGAAGGAGTGATTGTGTGGCAGATGCGGTGATGCTGTCAATGGAGAAATTATGACGAGGTGGAGTGTTCGCCCTGGGGGAGGGGGGCCAGGTGTTGGGTTTCAGTCATTCTCCACTTTAGTAATTTTCATTATGCAGCGTGGCAGGAGAATAATAGATCTGTTGATGCAATGTGAGCCCACTTCATATACTATCTCTGATTCCTCTGCCTTGTTTTTCTTGAAAGGAGTCATCAGTCAGTTCTGATCTGCAATGGATTTCATTTAACATACAAGCAGGATCGTACCGTCACATTTTCCACTTGTTTAAGTTTAATTAAATTTTTTATCAGTTGCTTAAGTTCAACTATTGCAGCTACATGAGGCCATTGGACGTGAGGAGTCTCAAGAATTTCGGGAAGGCATTGTAATTCGAGAGATTCGCCGTGGCTTTCGTCTTGGTGATAGAGTTCTGAGGCCTGCAAAGGTTAAAGTTTCAGCTGGATCTGGAAGCAAGAAAGCCAAAGCACTTGCTGTGGACTCTGCTGGACAAACTGCAGCAACAGCTGGAGTGGATGAGCGATAGTGATTCACGGACAAGAACCAATTTCTTCTGGAAAAGATTTCAACGTCCTTCATCCACTCCAGCTCGTGAAACTTTTTGGCGTAGCATGCGGCTTTAATTGAACCGGGCAAAGTTAGTTTCTTCTTGTCCAAGCTTCGCAAGTTATAGTTGAATCCATGAGGATAATTTTCTCAGTTCTTTCCCTTCTAAAGGGTCTGATATATGTAAAAGGATTTGATGTAAAAAAATTTATGGGCATCATATTTGAAAGTTTCTAATTGTTATAATTTCCTTGTGATTTTAACATAGCTGGTGGGCCCCATTCGAGTTTCATGCTTGGATGAAGTGAACTTCAATGTTGTGGGTGACTCCTGATGTACTCGGCCCTCAATTGTTACTCTCTCGTTTCGCTTCAAGAGCTGCTATAGTTAAAATGCATTTTGTATCTTAAGATTCGTGTCTAAAGAAACCTATCTTTTATTGAATTCCTTCCAACTTGGCTGTATATATTCAAAACTTAGTAAGTACCTTAAGGATCAGAGAGAAGCTTTCTCGTAAGCAACCATGCAAGAAATGAAGGGGATGATGGACAAGAACATTTCTGCTGACGGTCGAGAAAAGACTGTGAAGGTAAAGTTAATTTGCATCGTCCTCTACGATACATATGAAGTTTTAATTTTGCAGTCTCTCTTTCCGGATTACCAGTGTATCTCAATTCCCATTTTGGAAGATGTGCAGTTCTTTTGGTTCTTCATCGTGAATAATTGTAGCATTTCTTGGTTTCATATGGTAATGTTTGGGTATTATTCACATTCTACTTGTCAATTAGGACTCAAAGTATGAAGAATCAGTCGGCTAACAAAAGTTTCTTTTCTCAGTCACTTGCTATCCCTGTCATTACTTGGTAGGATGTTCAGAGGCTTACAATGGCAGATATTCTTCAAAAGGCAGCACGGATTAAGACGGTGGTGACTATGGAAAATGTAAATTTGCAGGCAGATTATTTTAAGATTTTCTCAAGAATAAATGAACAGAAGATTTGACATGTAATCTTTCATAGACGTGTTGGAAGTAATGTCTTTCATTTCATATGACCTGTGCCTCAAGTAGAACACGGTTGGTTTGCTTCAAGGTTGCCTCTAGCATCCCTTTTTTTTAGCCACTGCTTTAGCATCCTTATCTACTTGTAAGGCATTAAGTTTGGTAGCCTTGTGCAATGGATTTTCTGATCCCACATAAATGACCTAGAGGCATTGTGGTTGACCTATATCCAGGCGTCCGGAGAGGTTTTTTCTATTGGAACATTTGCATGAAGTGAGGGGGTTCTGGAGGAAAACAGGAAGAGAAAATGCCCCGGACTTCTACAATCCCTGAACATTACATTGATTGCACATGAGACTTGATGTTAGTTTGTAATGTGCCTTTTTGCTTGAACTTGTTAAGAAAATGACCCCCCACAGAACACCGATCAGGCTGTAGTCAGGCGGCTTAGAGTTTAGGACCACCAGCACATTCGGAGGATCTTCATGACACTTACTCGGAGAATATGTCTGTTTCATTTCTTGGTGGGGTAAGGCCTCAAGTTCAAGTTCCCTCGACCTGTATGCTGGTTTTGTGCTTGGAGTACCAGGCTGTCTTAGCCTGAAAACTTGGGGGGCAATCTCCTCTGCTTTTGCAAAGGTAAAATTCAAGTTGTTCATCCTTTATCTTTTCTTCTGAGAGAGGACAATATGACAGTTTTGACAACTAAAGTTCTGGGTTTATCCCCGGACAACGCATCATTCATGTCATAGTTTGGACAGAACAGAACATAATTTGGCCCCGTATGTATTCCTTTTTGTTTTTTGGCCTCCCTCTTGTTCCTCCCTTGTCTTGGCATTTCTTCTTTCCTTTTTCTTTTGCTCACTCTCTGACTTCTCCAGCAGTCGCTTTAATGGAGGCTAAGGCATGAATTTCCGGCGGCGACAAAAAGCATCTGTGAAAGTGGTGGGCATTCCAATTTTTTTTTTTCACTTTAGCCTTTACTACAGCTGGAAATTCGGCAAGAAAAGAAATAGACAGCAACTGAAACAGTCTCAGAGATCTTCAGACAAGAATAGAGAGAAACTGTATATGGAGAGAGAGAGAGAGAGAGACAACCCTACTAGGTTCAAGTGAATCAGACAAAAAAGCTTCCTAAGAGCAAAAGAAGCTGCTCTTTAGGACAGTGCAAGGAGTGGCCCAGGAATCTCACAGACCCCACCTTCACCTACCTACAGTCTCATTAAGCGAGCCGTTGCTATCATTCTTTTATTTTTTTTCAAAGCTATGATGATTAGTGATTTACTATGACACCAAACTGGACGAAAGGGCACTCAAAACAGAACTGAACAGAGCAAAGAGGGGAAAAAATCTCAGTTCTTTTGGTCTTGAATACAATCATTTCCTAACATAAAATAGAATGCATAATAAGCAAAGCGCGAGCATATGATCAAGTGAGGTCGTTCCGTGAAAGGCAAAAGGGGAAGCTTCCATGCCCTTGTCCCGCCATTATTTTGTTAACCAAAAAAGAAACAGACCTGGCCCTGCTTGTTCATCATTAGTCCTGGGTCTCTCTCTCTCTTTTGATTCCTTTCTTTTTCGTTCTTTTCTTCCTTTTTTCTTTAACCCCCTTTCTCCTTCCCCTCTAACGAGGGTATTTTCAGTCGGGTAACTGCAAGAATGTGCAATGATTCCGTTGATTTATCGCTCCCATTTATGATGCTTTTTGCTCTGGTTTTTTCTTTGTGGTGGTTTTGAATGATCAAGGAGAGGCTTCTCCAAAAGTTCTCATGGTATACTTACTAACCGTAGGAAACAGAATGACCACGAAAGAGAGACTCCGGAGAGGAGGAAACCTAAGAAAAAGAAGTAATAAAATAAGGCAAAAGGTACAACCAACATCAAGAAATTTCTCTACATGTGGTTTTTCCCTGAACACGAAGCTAGTGAACTCTCTCTCTCTCTCTCTCTCTCTCTCTCTCTTTCCCTCTCTTTCTCGTTCTTTTCGATTTTAGCCCACCGTAACTGATCTCTGTTTTGCGCTTTGTTTGCCCCTTCACTACCTGTGGCTGCAAAAGTCCAAAAGCTTCTTCCTCCCTTCAACTATCTCATCAAAGAAATCATCAAGCTGGCCCACGATATTCTCAGCACCTGATCTCAACACCCCAAAACACCCTCTCAAGTGTTCCACCCTCTCCCTGACCCTCACCTGCGACTCAAAATCCGCCCCTCCCACCGAGCAAATCTTCTCCAGCTCGCCTCTCAGCTCATCCATGGCCGTCCTCGACCTCCTGTACTCCTGAGCCAAAATCCCTGTCCCACCCCCGCCGCTCACCTGGTCAATCTCAGAGGCCACCCTCTGCTTCAGCCTCGCCGTGGACACCATGAAAGATGACCCGTAGAACAAGCACCCTTCCATCTCATACTCTTTCCCAAGGATATTCGATCCCTCTGGCCAGTAATAGACCAGCCCGTATAGCAGGATCATTATGAGCAGAGAGCTCACGTTCTTCATCGCGTACAGAGCTCCCCTGAAGCCATTGAACCCGTGGAGCTTCGATTCGAAAGCGCCGCCCATCTCTTCGAATCTCAGCGAGAGTGGCCTGAACTTCATCTCCATGAGTGCCCTGTTTTCCTCCTCCAGGCCCACGGCTTCTCTCCTGCACCCATTGATCGCCCTAATAACCTGTTTCGAATCAGAACACACGCGAAAAACAGAGAGAAAAAAATGAACTCTGTTATTGAAAGAAGAAATAAAAGCATATGATCTTAAAAAGAAAGTCTAAATTTTTTATTAGGAAGGAAGTCGTGACAGACCTGTCTAGAGACTTGTGGGCTCAGGTGATGATGGTGAGCATCGAACAAGGAGATCACATTCAATCCAGCAGAGCAGCAATTCTCCAAGCCAGAGACTCCAGACTTGAGGACATGGCATGCGTCCCACAGCTTGGAGCTCTCGTCCATGTACTCGTTCAGCCACTTGTCTCCCACAGGCAAGTGAAGTTTCTGGACAAGCAGGGACAAGCTGGTGTGGAAGGACCTAAGGACCGAGAGCACCCTCTGGAGGAATTGGACCGACATGAAGCTGTGAGACAGAGAGATGCGCTCAAGATCATCAATCCCTCTTGTGAGCAGGCTATAGAAGCCATTGACAGAGTTGGTGGAAGAAGGATCCATCTCTTCTGGCTCTTTCTCTGCTGGAAACTCAATGAGAAAAAGAAAGCTCAGGAGAAGAGAAAGATGGTGAGATTGGAGGAGGAAGGGAGGTGAGCAAGCATAGGGTATTTAAATTCAAGGAAGAAGGAGGAGCTCAGGTTCCTAGGGTTGAAAGGAATTGTGGGAACTGGGAAGCAATGATGATTGTTTCCTACAAAGAGGAAACGATGATTGTGAGCTGCCATTTTTTTGATTGTCTGATGGGGGAAGAGGAGAAAGAAAAGTGGCAAACCCCAAAGATTAAAACAAAGAGGGGAAGAAATAGAAAAGGTTGGCCCAAAAAGAAATTATCTATTCCTTGAAAAAATTCTCCAAGGACAAGGAATTATTCACCATTATACACAAAGAATTATAAAGATTGGCCCAAAAGGAAAAACAGAGAAATACCCTTTTGAGCAATAAGAAAAGAGAAAGTGGGGAGGGGGATTTGTATTATAATGTTGCTGGCAATGGCATGTCATGATGTTAGATTGAGGTCATGGGTGCGTGGGGAAGTTTGACTGGGATTGACCCATTTTTCTGCAAGATTTTTCTTTGATTTTTCGTCTCTTTGATTATTGTTCAACCCTCCCCCTCCACCTCCCACTTCGTCAAGAGCCTGTTGGTGATTGGAGCTTTGTTTCCTCCTTTTCTTCCTCGAGCAACTGACTTGGCCCCCTCTTATCCCCTCACCCATATTGAAATCTGCGGCTCGTGTCTCCTTGGACACCCAATCTCTTCAAGAAACGAAATCATGCATGGCGTTCGTTCTTTGAATCTATTCCTTCGACTGTGCAGAAGAAAGAAAATAAAAATGAAGTCTTTTCATGCAAATCTAGCTTTTTCCTCGATATCCTCCTTCCCCTTTTGTCCTCGAGAAACCATGAAAGCTCACTCTCTCGTTGATACCAAACAAATCTTTGATACCGTAGTTGCATGCAAGAGTTTTCTTGCATAGCGCGTGCACCTGAGTTGACCGGTCGCGTCATCCCTACTTAACATATCCGAAACGTCGTTTTCCTTTTTATAAAAAACAGTCGGTGTTTCGCGATTGATTGAATGAATAGACGTAGACATGGAGATTTCCCGAAATAAGCCTTTAATCAAGGAGTAAAGGGGCCATGATAGGATGAAATTGCTCCTTCTAACTTTATATTTGAAGGCTGTGAATTTTCTTTTCTAGATGGTGGGGACCGGAAAATCTTGTGCATTACCGATTTGCGCAATCGTGTCTTTGGTTTTTGTATAATAGTGTTTAATTAATGGAGTGCTCGTGAGGTTTTGGGGAGCGGGACACTTGAGAGGATGTTGGTCTTCTAGGATTTTCCTCGGGAAGTGGAGTGGAGAGGAGAGGAGAGGGAGGAGGAAGGAGGAGCGCATTTCAAAGGGCACACACCAACGTGGATTGCCTCCATCTTTTGGTATTAGGTGTGCCCTTTAAGTCCAACTAGCCATACTCATAGCAATGCACCTCTATATTCTCAATTGAATATTGGTAGGTGTTAAGGGAAGAAAATACTTAGCAAATATTTAAGAAATATTTGCCATTTTATTACCTTTTGTATCTTATCTGTTAGGGGAAAAAAATATTTATGGAATATTTGTTATTCTGTTACCTTGTGTATCTTATCTCTTAGAGTCATTTATGTACATTATATTTGCAACACAATCATGTACAGAAAAAAGAAGAATAAAATTTTCTTCTCTAAAACCTAATTCTTCACTGAGCCTCACAGCTCCCTCATGTATCTACTGCAATTGCAATAGCTTCCTTTACGTATATTGAAATTAATTCTTTTCAAGTGTAGGTTCATTGCAACAAACATGATGGATCTTATGTCAAGAGGTAAATTTCCGATACGTAAGTCGCGTGTGGTGCGAACTTCGTGAGAATATGCATTTTGAAATTCGAAAGTTCTTTTTATTTTTAATTGCTTCGCTGGTGTTTGTGAAGATGATACCGAACGAATCCATTTGATCGTCGTGGCATTTCCACTACCCCTGGACATTTTGCGAGTCTTTTGAATTGCAATAGAATTTGTTCGTATGGATAAAGAGTTAGGGGTGAGCAAGATGGATTGCCCAAACCGAGACCGGACCGGACTGACCGGTTGGGTCCGGTTCTCGGGAATATCGGTCCGGTTCCCGATTTTTAAAAGTGGAACCGGTTTCCGGGCGGTCCGGTTCCCGGTTCTGGGTTGGGAACCAGACCGGACCGATAAATATATATTTAATTTTTTCATATATATATATTTATTTGATTTTTAAATTTTGAAAAAAATAGAAAATTTAATCTAATTTCCCCAATTCCCTCTTGTCTTTACCAATAAGTGATTGGTCCAATTGGAACCGGATCAATGGTCCGGTCCGGTCCATGGTCTCAAGACTAGCCGGTCCGGTCCCCGGTCCTAGAAACTGGGAACCGGTCCTCCCGGTTCAGTTCCCGGTTCTTGGATTGGACCGGACCGGACCAGGAACCGCTCACCCCTAGCGCGAGTAATGAGCCGGAAGTGTCCATCTAAAAAGCACATAAATAAATGGAAAACATAGATGAGAGACGGAGAGAGTAGGTCGTCATGGAAAAAGGCAAAGGGGACTATCGTCTGTCATTTTCACCCGTGAATGGAGACCGTCATTGTCGGTTCCCATTCACGACGACCACAAATGCGCCTCAACCCGACTCTGTCTCTCTCTCTCAAAAGTTGGATATCCAGACCATATCCAATTTACACTGATAAGATCAAATGGAATGTACTAGTGCCACCAAACTCTAATAAGACAAATTAATCCTATTCGGCCTTTATGTATGATCAACCAAACAAAGCATTAGTGGAGGTGCCATTTGTTCATTTCAAACACTTTTAGTGTCAATGAAAGCATGCCGTGATTTTCAAACACTGGTGTAAAGTGTAGAATCTTTTCAGCCACCGAGGTCATTCGGTCTTTTGTCTTTGCAGGCCAAAAAGGAGAGAAAAATTCAGTCTTCAAATCAATATCCTAGGTTTGAACTCAAGCGGATGAAAAAACCGGTTGTGAACAAAAAAACCGAGAGGATATTCCCTCATCGTGACGTATCTCTATTACCTTAGTTAAATCTAGGAATTTCGAGAGAATTAGTGAGACGAGTCTCGTGGACTCGAAATACAGTTGGATCCCCCATTCACTCAAAAGTTTAAGCTAATGAATTATGAGCAAATTAAGATATATTAACTGTTTCACACCACACCAATTCTCCGACATGAGATTTTCCAACACAATTCACACGTGCATCTCAACAGCTTCATTAATCACAGCATAGTCCATGCTCGACGACCCTTTATGCCCTAGAATCAATAATAGCATATGGATGATGAGATTGGCAAGATGCTCCAACTCTGCTTCGATTGCTTTGTGGTCAGTCCTAGTGCTCTAGGCTTTTTAAAGATGATATGCGAAAACCATCATGAGTTTTAGTGCTAACCTTCCAACATCCGTCCTAAAAAAATTCGGAGAAATTCATGCCAGCTGAATCGACTCGATTTTCATTCAATATTAGTTATGAAGGATGTTTGCTCATATGCTCGCAACGTGGTATTTCACTCTGGCTCCGTACTCGTCACGTAGCGTAATAAGTTTAATGATTATTGCTCTGTGATCCAATGCTTATCACTCATCGAGTTCAAACTTCGAAAATCGACCGATCGAAGGTTTTTCAATATATTCACTTCATTATCTCGTGTTCGAACAATTGATAAACTAAAATTTTTTGACAAAATAGAAAAAAATGATGGTGTGCTAATTGTATTTTTCATAATTATTTCTACTACAGCTTTCATTTTTTATTTTTAAAATTAAAATAAATATTAATAGATTGTTAAAGAGAGACGATCCTAACATTTTTTTCTAGTTTTGGTTTATTATACAAAAAATTATATTCTATTTCCCCTTAATTTAGGCTTATTTTTTGGTCATACACTTAATTTAGACTGATAAGTAAAAGCATGATAAGGATTAGTTTTTTCTTTTTACTTTTACAGTAAGGATAAGTTCACGAGCCTTAGTTTGTTCTACAACAACTTTTATCTTTTATCTTGTATCTCATAGCATGAAAAGTAAAAAGTAATTAATGGATAAAGAGATATGATCTTGACCATAGATATTACTTAGCCATCATTTCCTCCCTCATTTTTTTTTTTACATTTTGACTTTCATTTCACTAAATTTATGTCAATTCACTTTTGCCCTTTCGTTTCTCCTCCTCCTTTCTGTCACTTCTTCTCTTATCGAATTTCTTTTACTTTAATATTCAAGCTGTTTTATTTAATTCCTTTTCTTCCATCAAATATTTGTACGATCACAAGGTCACATAACTTAAAGTGTAGCCACGAATTTTGACGTTGTTAATTTATAAGTGTTAGAATTTCTATTTAAGTTCCCGAATGAAATAAGTTTACACCGTCAGTACACACTTTTGAAATTTTAATAATAATAATAATAATAATAATAATAATAATAATAATAATAATAATAATAGTGATTTATGATCTTAAATCGCTATTTACAAATGAGACACATAATTTATTAACTGTCTATCTTTTAATTAATTGAGTTATTGAAATATTTAGAGTTAACATAGGATATCACTTTAAAAACTGTCGATTTTGTTTTATTGGGACAAAACATTGATGACTACGGAATGGATTGTTTTAATAAGTCTCGCAACTCTAAAGTCGAAATACAAAGGTTAATTTTGAAGTTAGTTTTTCGCGGGTTGATAGAAGGGTCTTTAAATTATCGCCGATATAGGTGTATACAACCATATAAAATTTAATTCGAAAGATTATGTAGATAAATGGAGACTTATAGAGAGCTACAAATGTTGAATAATTACAAGATGATTAAGCAAGCTATAAAATTAGATTTTTTGCATAACAATAAGTTTGATTATATTGAGAATGTTAAAGTTTTTTGATATCGCGGCAACACCGAGTTTAATATTTTAGTGATATTTTTTTTTATCTGTTCTACGCTAACTCTCAACTTACTCTCAAACTTTTGCCCTTGCTTTGGCCACCGGGGATACAAAAAGCAAAAACATACATGAAAAAAGACATAAAGCCAAAAAGAGAAAGGTCAAAGCACGCCCAGTGGGACTCGAACCCACAATCGCCTGATTAGAAGTCAGGCGCCTTATCCATTAGGCCATGGGCGCTCTCATGTGTGTTATGGGATTAAATAAATTATTTTAAATCCTGTTACTGGTCCCTTCCATAATCCATATCTAGTTCCGTTCAATTTGTAAGAAGTGTCTGTATCCCACCAACACCGGAGGATACATTTTGATGACATGGACCAACTACAATTTGTGCTTGTGCAGCGGTGCTTCTACATTGAAACTTTGTAAATCGGCAATCAGTCCTCGAGAATTTTAGATTACTTTTTTTGGCTCAAAAATGGTCGAGAGAGCTTGTCGAGTGAACGAGCAATAGCAACGACGGTACTTGAAATTGCTTGAACTCAGACCAATACAGCGACGACTGAGATTGGAATCAATGCCCTGAGATTTAGGGTGGGTGATACTGCCTCTCAACATCTATGCTTCCATGTGAAAAGTTACAATTGCGTACGTGCATTGTGTATTCATGTGTATTTGACCCAATCGTAGCAGCAAAAATTTGAATACTCCGATTCAAGAAAAGAAACCAATCCTCGGCGTCGGAGCAGTTTGGAGAACGCGTCAGCACAGTATATCAAAAGGCGGAGCAACAAACATCAAAATCGAAAAGAACCTCAAGCCATCGCATTTTTAAGGTCAGAACAGATTCGAAAACTTAGTCTGACCTTCAAGCTTTTTCTGGAAATTAGGCCTTCTACAGTCGATGTAGTCTCTACAAAAGAATACCAAAATTCACCGCAAGACTGAAGTACAAGTCATAAACCGTGCTTGAGACCGTCAGAGAATGCGAAGCTAATTTGTCCGAGACAGAAGATCTACGAGCATAGCAGAGTGCACAAATCCCCCATTCTAGCTGGCGAAATGTTGGTGAAAGGAAACACCCTGAATTTGCCATTAGCCATGCAGGTCAAAGTTAACTCGGCATTGCGCTCCACAGACTGCAAGATCTGTTAGAAGCACAAGAAATTGCAAAACCACAATGGTAAATGTGTCCTCGAGAATATCAAGTTTCTAGTATGATGTCGAAATACTATGCCAAGATCTACTGTGTGAATTCAACTTAATGTTTCCTGGAAGAAACTGAGAGAAAGATAGTCGTATTGAAAGCATAAAGTAAAGGACCCAGGGACTAGGCAAGCTGTAGCAACACTGGTTGGACTCCAAAAAGCTATATATATTTTTTCGTCATAGACTCTGAGATGAACATCAAATTCATTCCGAGGGAAAAAGAAAGAAAAGGTACAGCTCCAGCTTCCGACAAGCAAGGTATAAATTTGTCAAATCAAACACAATGTCAAAATGCATTATATGCTCCATTTCAGAGGAGTGCTAATTAACTGTCATAAATCTATGTTGTAGGACTGCAAATTCTCAATAATCTCGATACCTCGCAAGAAGTCGTCATGTCGTTGCAGCTCCATCTTTTTGAAGGGATGCAATTGAGAAAATAACACCAACTGCAGTACTGGTTAAAGTCGATTCTCCTTAGTGCTGCGACAAGACACCCTGAGAATCTAGACAACAAAGAAGATCAATTTATGAGATCTCATCCAACAACAGAGTGAGGGTAGACAATTAATCCAAAGAACAGAAAAACTCCAACTTACACGAGAGCAAAGAGAAGAAGAGCCACAATCCTCAGCACTGGTTCATCCAGCATCTGCTTCAACTTGATGGAACTCTGAACACCATAGTCAAAGAGACCAACCTTATTAGGAGGAAGTTCTCTACGTTGAGGTTTATATAGAGCCACAAAACCAAGTAGAAATCCCGATATGAAGCCTCCCATGCTCGAAAAGTTGTCGATATAGGGCAACAGGCCAAGAGCGAAATTGATTGTGAAGATTGAGAAAATGAAAACCAGAGCAGCAAACTGCAACACATAAAGGAGAGAGATTTATATGATGATCAAGGAATCCAGAATGGTAGAATAGATGAACACAGTGAAATAACGGTTAAAACACGAAAATACATGCGGAATCAACCTTATCATTGAAATGTCTCCAATAGCGTATTAAAACAGCAAGCATAGCTCCCAATAGTCCAAAAAGAGCAGCAGATGAACCGACTTGTGGACTGTCTTGGACAAAAAGCGCAGAAACCAGGCTACCAACCAAGGCAGAGAGTATATAGATCATCCCCGACCTTACTGCAAATCAAGTAAAATAAATGAGCCAACGAATAATAGCAATAAAGAGTAGTCTAACAGAGCTTAATACCTATTAAACTTCAAAGGTTATCATGAAGCTAAAATACCTACATGGTCCAAACTCCTGCTCTAGATGAATCCCCAAGTACGTGACACTGAGCAGATTGATCAATAGGTGGAAAATCCCAGCATGCAACCATGGTGCAGTGAAGAGTCGCCAAGTCTGGTGCTCAGTCAGCAATGTTCGTCGGACAGCCCCCACTGCATCCAGCCTGATAAAACACAATAATTAGTGATCTTCCTCTCCTCTGACGAGACTTGCAAGACCAAAAAAATGTTGCTCATGTTCCATGTTCACATATGTATTGCTGTTACGAGAGGGAAAAAACAACCTAACACAATAAAACAGGACGGTCAAGCATCCCTTTTCACAATACTTGAAAAAACACGGCATATGTGATAGATGCCACCAAAGTACTAGACATAAAATAGGATCACAGCTTTGGTGTATATCGTGAGAGCATTAGTGGTTCGACACCTGCTGCTTCCGGGAACATTCTATCAGAATTCTTACACCCATTTTTTCTGCTTCCAACGACACTGCACCTGTGTCTATGTGGTCTGGCAAGAAGGCACAGAACAGCAGAGACTTAAAATTCATCTAAATTATTGGATTCAAGTCATTTTAGAGAAAAAAATTACGAGGCTACAGAACAGAGGGTGTAGCATCAACTTTCCTATTCTGTAGGGGATCTTGCCATTCTCATGTCTCCGCCACTGTTGTTGCCAACCCCACCTCCACCACTATCACTCTTGTTGCTGCTGCCGCCGTCATGGCCATGGAACTGTGTCATTGCTGCCTCTAACTACCATGACCTCACCATTATCATAGCTATCTGATCCTCTACAATACACAACCACTCTGTGGTTGTTCCCCCACCACCATACACCACTACTTCATCACCATCATTGCCAATTCGCCAAAATGTTTTCACCAAAACTTCCTTCCTACACCAGCATCACCACCAGCTCCGCCACTCCGCCACCACAGCCGCCACTGCTGTTATCCCCGACTTCTTCACCTACTAGAAGTTATGATCTTATTTGATCTGAATGACTCGTCATTTCCATAAAATGAGATCCAACCACATCCTCCAATTTTGACGGTACAGTTCTAGATGCAATCTTTGTGAACCATGGGAGAGCAACTAGAGGCACTGGGGCACTCGGTACAGCTAGGAGCTCAAAATGCATGTAAGCCTTTAATCCTGTCTAATTTCATCATGATGACCATGAAATGTACATTAAAAAAAAAAAACCTAATAACTGCGCAATTTGACGGTCAGTTCGTTATATGCTGGCCAGCACTACTGAGAAAAAAATTAGTTCTCGTTGATTTGATGAAAAACTAAATCCTTAACGACATAGCTTGAAGCAAAAGTCCGAATTACAAGTACCTGGACAAGAAAAATGCTATCTTTCTTCTGGTTATCACTAAAATAACATTTTTTTTGGTGATCCAGAGTTCCAGAAACAACTCTAATAAGAGGAACTGATCGATGGAGCCTGATATTCCAACCGAAGCAGAGCAGCGTATGTTCACTAACCGGAAAGCAAGCTATTCGGTAGCAAATGGGACTATCTCAAAGACGTAATCGATCGTTTCGCAGCAAAACCGATAAGTCCTTTGAAAAAAATCGCCGAGTAATGCGAGGAGAAACGAGGAATCTCACGTCGAAGCGGAAGGTCCGAGCAGGGGGTTCTCGGGGAGCGGCTGGAACGAGAACCGGCCAAGGGCCTTGAGCGCGCAATCGCCGTGGGAGCTCTCGCCGCAGTTGTTGACGGCCATGGTGGCGACGAAGGCGAAGACGTGGAGGAGCACGAAGAGGGAGACGATCCACGTGTCGCCCCGCCGGCGAGAGGCCGACCTGAAGAAAGGCACCCGGTCCTCGTCGCCGCCGCCGCCGCCGCCGCCGCCGCAGGGGTAGTCGCCGAAGTCGAACGACGGCCGCGGTGGCTGGCGGGGCTTGAGGCCGAGCTCCGCGCCGAGCTTGGCGGAGGCGGCCATTCCGATGCTGCAAGCGAAGCTCGAGCTCGAGCTCGCTCGAGAATGGAGAGGAGGAGGAAGGTCGGTGATGGAGGGAAATCGATTCAACTGCTCCGTAGCAAATGGGATTCGGTTATAAAGACTGTCAAGTCTCCACAGCTTGCTTAACTGCTTTATTTATTTATAATAATAATAATAATAATTATTATTATTATAACTGCTTATTATTATTATTATTATTATTGTAATAATAATAGTAATTACTATTATCTTCATTTTTGATAGAGAAAATTGCGCATGTGAAATTCCCTAAGCGCCCCCCAGGCTCCCCCTCCCTTTTGCCAATAAAAATAAATAAATCTGTCATACAAATCATTTATATAGAAACCAACATATCATGCATAATTATACAAATCCATAGTACCAATGAAAATAAATAAATCTATTGTACAAATCGGTTATATGAAAACAAACATATCGTGCATAATTATGCAAATATACTATTAATCTATCGTTGCATGCTTATAAAATAAAGAGATAAACGGGCTACACAATAGTGTGGAGGCACGCATAGTGTTGAATGGTTATTAACGATGATAAAATGGGTGATTACTGATTACACGACGGAAGTCATACGAGATGTGCTAATTGCACCCCTTTTCGTAATTTTGTTATTTTACCCAAGATGTGAGATTAAATTTCACCTTTTTGATTGTATATTAGATTAGATATATATAGTAAAAACAATTTCAAAAAAGATGTATCAACTTATGTTAAACACATGCTTCATTTCAACACGCTCGTTGTGCTCGGCGATAATTGAAGTGCGTGCGTTCAGGCACTTCCTTGCAGCACACAACTCCGTGCAGCGTTCGTCGCTAACCAAAGGGTCACTCCTATGATTATGCGATGATGCCGACTAAATCCAATCGTAAAGTAGGCATTTTGTTTTTGGCTTAATATACTATGAAAAACTCTAAACTAATATACATGTGACAAATTTATCCCGTACTAATTTTTTTTACCACAAAAAACTCTAAACTGGTACACTTGTGACAATTTTACCCTTCATTAAATTGGATCAATACCACGAAAAACTACAAATTGGTAAGCTTGAGACAAGCAGAGAGGTAAAACCCCAAGCTGGTACACTCGTCAACTGTCACGTGTCATTTAATTTAGAAATTTGATAGCAAAATTTAATGAAAACTAAATGAGGGTAAATTTGACATAGATGTATAAGTTTAGGTTTTTGTTGGTCAAAAAATTAATTTAGGATAAATTTATTGCAGGCATACTAGTTTGAGGATTTTCATGGTACTAACCCTTGCTTTTTGCCTTAGACTCTATTTAAACAAAGCAAAGGAGGAGGTAGAATGGACAAAGGGAAGGGACAAGGGCGGTCTTGCTTGGCGCGAAGGCTGCCGGTTGGCTAGGGGTGATCGGTTCCCGGTCCAACCCAAGAACTGGGAACCGGACCGGGAGGACCGGTTCCCAATTTCTAGGACCGGGGACCAGACCAGCTAGTCCCGGGACCTTGAACTGGTTCCAATGGAATCAATCACTTATTGGTAAAGGCGAGAGGGAATTGGGGAAATTAGATTAGGTTTTTTTTTTTTCAAAAATTTTAAAAAGTAAATAAACATATATGAAAAAAATTAGAAAATATATATATTTATTGGTCCGGTCCGGTTCCCACCCTAGAACCAGGAACCGGACTGCCTGAAAATCAGTTCCACTTTTAGGAATCGGGAACCGAATTGATATTTCCTAGAACCGGACCACACCGGTCGGTTCGGTCTGGTCTGATCCAGTTCAATCCCGATTTAGGCGATCCATCTTGCTCACCCCTACGATTGGGTGGTGGGGCATGATACTTAAGGTCCTTGGACTTTGAGGCGGTTTTTCTTTTGCGTAATTTGCACCGATGGGACACTAAAATTTAAGTGGAATTCGTAATCTTGTTACTACACTTTGATTTCGACCCACCCAATACTCTTAAACTTTTCAATCTTAGTTTTAGAGGCTCTATTCTTCTGCTGCTCTAGCTTCTATGTTCTTCATCTCTGCTAGAACTTGTTCTGCTCAAATCTTGGTTAAATTCTCCTTCCCTCTTTTGTCGTGCTACGATTGGTATTGCCTTCATTTCAGTTACTTGAACAGACTCTTCATTACATGACATCACTATTTCATAATCTAAAATGCTAATGAACCGTCACGTTCGTTCGTTCTCATTCTTGATACCATTTTTAAGGAAAATTGTTCGCAATCAATCCTAAATCTACGGTATAAATATTAGTTCAGTCTTAAATTTTTTAATTTCTTCAATTTAGTTCTAAATCTCAGCGCAATATTTCATCATTTCGACTAATTTTCACTTGAAAATTGTGAATATTGTGAAATCAAACTTCACAATGATACGGTTTTTTGGAGAGGCTAATGCCGTATGGTTTATTCGTCGCCTCAATATGACATGTCCCATGACATGTCGACACTTATCTATGCCTGTAGAAAGATGTGCTAACAAATGGTGGATATGTCCAACGAGCAAAAATTCACGTGCCCAGCCATCATATATTTTAACATACGGCAGTCACACATATATATATTTTTCAAAAATACTTACGAAGCCGAATTGGGCTTCTCGGGATTTTTTGGGTTTAAAGCTCACAACCCGTGCTTGATCCAAAACGAAAAGTAATCGACGGGTCCCGAAACCGAACCGGTCTCTTTGAGCGGGCCCGAAAAGATCAGGCCGAGCTGAGCCGAGCCGACCGGGCCCGGTTCGCCCGTTCGTGCAAGCAAAGCAAAGCAAAGCAAAGATGCTTCGAAACAGCCGCGGATCGAAGAAGACGAGATCGCTCTTTGCCTTTTTTGGAGACTTCCGAAGGGGTCCGAATTCCGTAACGCGCAGGTCAAATCCAAAGATAGGCAAAACGGAAAACGACGTACGGAAAGGGCAGAAGAAACGCAAGACAAAAAAAACAGAGCATTGAAGCCAAAGCCCACGAGAGTTCCCGCTTCTCGCGCTCGCTCGTCCCCCTCCCCTCCCTCCATTTCTACGGTTTTCAAGTTCTCCACTTTCATATCTTTCCTTCCCCCATTTTCGGTCTTGAATTATTGGGGCTCCCCCAGAAACCAAGAAAAGTCCACCGTTTACCATATTCAAACCCCTTCTCTCCCCTGCCTCCTCCTCCTCTGTTTCTTCTACGCCTTCATCGGTTTTTTCTTCACGACCCTCTTCCATCTGAATCGACGCTCGTCTCTCAGATCTGTAAGCATTCTCCCTTACCCATTTGTTCGTTCGCGATGGTTGATGAATACCCTTCGGTTATTCGTGCTGTTGTCTCTGATTTGAGCCTAGAACGTGCTTGTTCCTCTTTTGCTCTGTGGATGTACGCCCGTTGCAACTGGCCTTGCTTTGCATGTGATTCCGTCTGCTTTGGGCTTTTTTTCTCATTGGGTTTTCCGTTTCAATCTTGCCGTTTGTCTGGAAGTTGAGGAAGAAGATTTTTGGGGATATTTGTGTTCCCCTTAGTTCCATGAATTGAAGATCGATTTGGATATTTTGACAAATGGCGGTGCCGGATTTTGACCTATGCCGCTTGTCCTGACATGGATTAGATGAGAATGGAGATTTAATGATGGTTTGCACTGGCTTTTTATTCAGGTTTTAGTTCTTGATGTGTAGGATCGAATCGGCAGATCGATCGAGATTTTTTGAATTCTTGCTAGCTTCCCCTTCTTAGATTAGTTCTTTGTTCAGGCCTTTCTTAATCTGAAGAGCGCGCTTGTTGATGTAAAAGATTATCTTGATTTTGACCCGTTAACAACAGTACCTGCTCGTTCAAAAGTAATGTTTCAGATGGTTACTTTGGTAAGGCCCAACTACGTGTTCCGCTTATAAAACGTTTACTGTGGATTTGGTATGATTTTAGTGTTGGTGCACGGTATTACGTCACAATGCCTGCTAGCAGGCATGCTATGATTTTTGGCAGAAAGAAATCATATGGTAATGGAATGACGTTTGTTGTATTTGGCGTGGTTTCTGATTAGATTTGTTGTCTGCTATGCCAATACAGAAATAGTTTGGAAATTTTTGTTCATTCTTACTTATTTCTCAAGCTTGTGAAATCAGAATCTTACAATTTGCTTTGGTAAAAGTGGCTTAATGCTACTCAATGTCGTTGAAGCCTTAAAAAGTACCTCGCTTTCTTTATCAGTTCATCATCTATCTGTATGTGGACTACTTAATTCTTTAACCTGCATCGCCTTCTACTCAGTGATAAAGCTACTTTGGTTCTACCGGCTGGCTAAATAACCTCATCCTTGTCAGTCATAAGTAAATGCACTTTCATTAGTTTCTGCAGGAAATCTTCATTCAAAAGGTCAGGCTTGTGTTTGAATTAGACTTTTTATATTGATTATATGGTGCAGGAAAATGAAATTCTGAAAACTTGGTTTGAATTAGTCACTATTCAGTAAGTTTGATTGTGCTGGGATCATGGACAAGGAACATTCTAGTCAAGATGCTAACTGTCCACAAGCTGAGAAGGCAAGGGAAAATGCAACTGGTGCTCCCATTAATAATGATCAAGATAAAAGATTGGATGATGAAGGAGTCATGCACAAGGAAGACACTAATAGGGAAGAAAATACCTCCTCAGAAACCGAGAAGGTAGAGCAAGGTGGGGTTGATAATGTTGACAAGATGGTTCAAGATGAACCATCAGAGAACCTAGAAGCTCTGAATGATGTCAGGGCCAGTGCAAAGCAAGATGATCAAGATGAACTGTCAAAAAACCTAGATGCTCTGAATGATGTCAAGACCAGTGCCAAGCCAGAAAATGACAGTGGAAAAGACTTGGCTGACAAGATGAATGGACAAATGGATGTAGAATCTAAAGGTCAAACGGAAAAGGCAGATAATGCCAATAAACAAGATGACGCTGGTGATGAAAAGAATGACGATGGGAACTTGGATCACAGGGCTAAAGAAGAAGTAAACCAATCTACGAAGGAAACTGAAAATATCTCCGAGGAAAAGGAAGCTGAGCCCGTTTTTGATGGAACGGAAGTTCCAGGAATGGAAAGTATTAGGTCTACATCTGTCCGCTCTTTGGATCTTGATCCAGAAACTCAAGGAAGCAATTGGCCTGAGAAGGCAGTGGCCATCAAGAACTTTGTCATGGACAAGAGTGCAGGCGCAGTCTCCACCGTCTTGCGTCGCCTTTCTGGAAAAACAGGTGATGATGAAGAAGTCGCTACTCAGGAAAATAAAGAGGATGTAGAGTCCCGCCAAGAAGTTGAAACTGAAGAAGCTTCTCAAAAAGCATCCGAAAAATCCGTGTGGAACCCTCTTGGCTATTTCAAGTTCACTAGAGATGCTGATGAAGAAAACAAAGCGGAGCAGCAGGAGGTCGTAAATGACTTGCTACAACCTATCGTAGTAAAAGGAAGAATCATTCTTTATACAAGATTAGGTTGCCAGGAATGCAAAGAGGCTAGGCTGTTCTTGTACAGAAAGCGGCTTAGGTATGTTGAAATTAATATTGACGTTTATCCGAGTAGAAAGATGGAGCTGGAAAAGATTAGTGGTTCTTCAGCTGTTCCAAAGGTCTTCTTCAATGAGGTACTTATTGGAGGTTTGAGTGAGATGAAAAACTTGGATGAGTCTGGCAAGCTCAAGGACAAGATTGATTATCTAATCGCTGAGGTGCCATCGCCAGAAGCTCCTTTACCGCCTCTTTCAGGGGAGGATGACGAGTCTAACAGTGGGGCTATTGATGAGCTGGCCCTTGTTGTTCGCAAGATGAAAGAATCCGTTCCTATCAAGGATCGATTCTATAAAATGCGCAGGTTCACTAGCTGTTTTCTTGGTTCGGAAGCTGTAGATTTCATATCAGAGGACCAATACCTGGAAAGGGAAGAGGTCAGTTGATTTTAAGTTCAGCTTGTAAAATCTTTTTTTATTATTGGTTAATGTGTCCATATCATGTAATTTGGCTTGATTAATCGTGTTCAGTTGCACTAATAATCCTTTTCCCTTGTGGGTCAGGCTATTCAATTTGGCAGAAAGCTTGCCAGCAAACTCTTCTTTTATCATGTTCTTGAGTGAGTATTTTCTTGTTCTCTTGCTACCTTACAATCATCTCGTTCCATGCAGTAAATTTGTAGTTGACTCATCTTAATGCCCTCTGTGATTCTAGTGAGAATGAATTTGAGGACGGTAATCACTTGTATCGATTTCTGGACCATGACCCGATTGTATCAACACAATGCTACAACATTCCTAGAGGTATCATAGATGTGAAGCCAAAGCCCATAATTGAAATAGCATCGCGATTGAGATTTCTGTCCTATGCGATCTTTGATGCTTACACCTCAGATGATGGAAAGCATGTGGACTATAGAAGTATTCATGGAAGCGAGGAGTTTGCAAGGTGAGTTGTCTTTGAATAGGTCGATGATGTTGATACTCTGAACTCTATCTGTTGTATGCACCGGTATTCAGTAAGGTCTTATTCATTTAGGTATTTGAGAACTGTAGAGGAACTCCAAAGGGTAGAATTGCAGGGCATGCCTAGGGAGGAGAAGCTTGCTTTTTTTATTAACCTCTACAACTTGATGGCAATCCATGCTATACTGGTGTGGGGTCATCCAGCTGGAGCACTGGAACGAAGGAAGTTGTTTGGAGATTTCAAGTATGTTGTTGGTGGATGCACCTATTCACTTTCGGCCATCCAAAATGGTATTCTTCGGGGCAATCAGCGACCGCCTTACAATCTCATGAAGCCATTTGGTGCCAAAGATAACCGTTCCAAGGTAAGGTGCTGATGCTATTGTTAGTTAACTTTTCTTTTCAATCTGCTATTGCTTATTTGTAGAGTAGAGCATTATGATAACTGGAATAAGTTTTATGGTTGTGTATTACCCATTCTTCAGCCTTTTCTTGTCCACAATATAAGAACAAGACTGCAAACATATCTGCATCTTAACAGTACTATGCTGGACATTATGTCAAGTACAGTAACCCACTTAGTTTGAGGTTTTCGTTTCCTTTTCCTCCTCCTATAGCCGAAAAGTTGTAAAGTTTGCCACATGAAGGCTTTTTTCTCCTAGCATGGTGCTCTACGTAAGCAGAACACTGAAAGAGGAGCTAACTCTAGATTTTTCCGTAGATTCATTTGGGTTATTATATGTCTTTTTCTATCCTTCTACTATACAGTTTGATACATATGTGTTTAAGTATTTTCTTTTCCAGTCATTGATTTGGGGAGAGTGGTTTGTTTGATGCATATCGTCGTGTTGTAAGATGACGGGAGACTCCAGACTTACCAGTCTTGGACACTTCATATGTTAGGGTGCATTTTTTCTCTCAATATCCAATATTTTATGAAGAAAGTTGTATTCTACTCTCCTGAAGAAATTTTCATTTATTTGGAAATAGGTGGCTCTTCCATATCCCGAGCCTCTTATTTACTTTGCACTGGTATGTGGCACTCGGTCTGGACCAGCTCTTCGATGTTATTCACCTGGGAATATTGACAAAGAGTTGACGGAGGCAGCTCGTCTTTTCTTAAGAAGTGGAGGATTTTATTACGATGCGAATACCAAGGTTGCCTCTGTCAGCAAGATCCTTAAGTGGTAAGTTATTGTAGAGGCCTTTAAATGCAGCGCATGCTTTCAATTGGCCCAGATATCCATGTTGATAGATTGGCTAAACCATGTCATTCTGTCTTTTCTTGCGTGCCCTCATGTTGATGAACTTGACAAATCCTTCGTGACTCAAAGCCGGAGACACTTTCAAACAATTTATTGTGCGGTGCCCGAGTTTCTCTTTCTATTTTTCTAGTTGAAGAAGCTCATGCATTTTCGTATCTGATTGGGTGATGACAGGTTCCGTGTAGATTTCGGGAAAAACGAGGTGGAAGTGCTTAAGCATGCATCGAACTATCTAGACTCGAAGGACTCGGAGGCGCTACTGGAGATGCTTTCGAGCAATCAATTGAAGGTGACCTACCAGCCATATGACTGGGGAGTGAATTGCTAAGCTTCATTTTTTGAGTTCTTTTTATCTAAACGCACAGCTTCCCCTGTTATGAAACTCAGCAGAGTGGAAGAGCTTTTTTCTTCATCTTTTTTTTGTGTTATACATAGCTTCCCCTGCTGTCAAATTGCAGCGGCGAAGAGCTCATGTTTTTAGTTTTTGCCGAGATAGGAATAGAAACATGTTTGGTGAGTTTTGCTGCTCAAAAACATCGGCACTTTAGGACAATGGAAGTTCAATTTCAAACTCTTTCGTTATGTTCTGTTCGCAATCCCTGTCGCACATTCTTTGTACCATGGATCGGCTATCTTGTTATCAAGCCCATGAGAATAATCGGTGTATGAAACTCTATGGCCTGGTCTGGCTTTATAATTAGATTGCCTCGTACAAACCCGCCAAGTAACCTTTAGGCCCATGATCGGGTCCAGTGTTTGCCAAAGGATAAGACTACTACACCCATTTTCAGAAATGCAGTTGTTTTCTGTTCTAGGGGTGAGCACCGGTCCCGGTCCAATTTGAGAACCAGACCGAACTGTCTGGGCGGTTCCCAGGGGAATCGGTCCGGTTTCCGATTCCTTACGTGGAACCGAATTGACTGGACCGGCAATTTTTTCTCCCTTCTAAACTGAAGAGTAAAGCTGGTAGAGGCAAAAAGTAAAACCCTAGGCTTCTCAGTCTCACAACTCTGGACTCTCTCGCCTTCCTCTCTTGCTCTCGCCTCAGCTCGCCTCTCAGCCCTCCCTCTTGCCTCACCCTCTAAGCTTGCCTCAGGCCTCAGCACTCGCTCTTGCGTCGCCTCTCAGCTCTTGCCTCAATCGCGTCACCGCCGACCCTATACTTTGACAAAAGCGCACAAGTGAAATCAAGTAAAGATAGCATTTTTTTTTGGGCCCAATTCCCTAAAAAGCCCTTAACTTTAGCCTTTGTCCCAATTATATCCCAAACTTTTTTTTGTCTCATAAAAAACTCCAAACTTTTACTTTTGTCCCAAATCTACCCAGTTAACTTTTTCGTCCAATTTTTTAATATTATTTTTTATTTTTTCGAATTTTTTTATTTTTTCTTTTCTTTACTTTTTCCTTTCCTTTTCTTTTTTTTTTGTTTTACATTCTGGCCGGTCGCCGGTCCGGCGACCGGCCAGAGGCGGGGGCCGACGAGGCTCGGCCCCTCCTGCGGCCAGGTGAGGCTCGGCCTCGCCGGCGTTAGGGCGAGGCCGACGAGGCTCGGCCCCACCGGCCGTTAGCGAGGCTCGGCCTCGCCGGCGTTGGGCGAGCCGAGCCTCGTCGGCCTCGCCCAACGCCCAGTGAGGCTCGGCCTCGCCGGCGTTAAGCGAGGCCGACGAGGCTCGGCCCCACCGGCCGCCGGGCGCGAGGCTCGGCCTCGCCGGCGTTGGCGAGGCCGACGAGGCTCGGCCCACCGGCCCGCAGCGAGTCGGCGAGGCTTGGCCTCGCCGTAGCCGGCGAGGCTCGGCCCGCCGTGGTGGCGAGGCTTGGCCTCGCCTAGCAAAGGCGAGGTTCGGCCTCGGCCGACCTCGCCGTCTTGGGCGAGCCGACCTCGCCGGTTGCCGGCGGGCCGAGCCTCGCGGAGACCGGCGAGAACTCGGCCACGCCGGCCGCTGGCAAGGCCGACCTCGCCAATAGCCGGCGGGGCCGAGCCTCGCCGGCCCCCGCCTCTGGCCGGTCGCCAGACCGGCGACTGGCCAGAATGTGAAACAAAAAAAAAAAAGAAAAGGAAAGGAAAAAAAAAAAAGAAAAGAAAAAATAAAAAAATTCGAAAAAATAAAAAATAATATTAAAAAATTGGACGAAAAGTTAACTGGATAGATTTGGGACAAAAGTAAAAGTTTGAGGTTTTTTATGAGACAAAAAAAAGTTTGGGATATAATTGGGACAAAGGTTAAAGTTGGGGGTTTTTTAGGAAATTGGGCCTTTTTTTTTGTGAAAGAACACAATTTTTATGCTTGTGAAGAATGTCATGGAGGATGTAGTGGAGGAGAAAGGCGAGACTGAAGAAGAGGAACGCCAAGCTGAAAATTATGAAAGAAGAATCGGGTAGGTCTACACGTTAGACTTTGCCCAGAACAATTCTCAATTTTCCACTTGATTTTTCATTTATTTAAATTTATTTTGTAGTTGACAATGTACTTTCCGTCCAAGTAAAGCCCTTGATGCCGAGAAAATATTCAGTACTTTCAAATCACCACGTCAGCTGCTAATGGGGAAAATTATAAAAAAAGTCTTAAACCTATTACACTTTTGCCAATTCAGTTCTAAACCTTTTAATTGTGCCAATTGAATAATCAATCTTTTCACGTTTTGTTAATTGAGTCCATCTGACCAATTTTGGTCGGAAATGCTGATGTGGACACTAGCTACCCTATTTAACACGGTCGGTAGTGACGCGAACAAATTTTTTTAAATATATTTTTTAATTATTTATTTATTTTTTTCTTTTCTACTCTTTTTATATTGTAGTCAGCTAGGGTGTCGTGTTTGGGATTGCGTAGCAGAAGCCCGATACCTTCACCTAGGAAGATCATCAAGAAGGAGCCCAAGTTTGAGTTTGTTAACATATCTAATTGGATTCATTTTCAATCAAAAGCTTAAACAAATAAGTTATGGGCCAATTTGGATATATTAACTGCTTAGCACTATATCAATTCTCCGATGTGAGACTTTCTAACACAACTCACACATGCATTTCAACAATCTCTCCTTCATATGCGAGCTTAGTGTTAGCTTTGCTACAGCTTTAATTTAGGTATCCTTCTGCATCAACTTATTTCAATTTGAATATGCATCAACGCTCAATTTCACCCCCGGTCTCTTTTTCTAAACTAAACCATGAAGTTCGCCATTGGGCTCGTGTTGCTACACCACAATGTAACTGCTCGGAAATTGCGTTGGTCACTAGATTCCTTTCTTGAGATATTCACCAAATATCGAAATAGATTGGTGATCCGCCAATCTACCATCGGCTCCGATACTATTGTTAAATATGTCTCGAGTTCGAACTCAATTAAAACTAAGCCTTGATTGAAGGGGTTAAAATAAGCGACCACGTGAAAATGAAGTACACGAGTTCTTGATCGTGAAAATTGAAAAGAAAATAAGGGGGCACACAAAGTTTATTTTCACGTTGCTTCGAATATGCGATGGAGTCGGCCAAAGAAAAGGTGAAGAGGAAAGTCCAAAATTAGATTTGGTTGACCGAATCCCACTTGGATTTTGTTTCCTTCTCCAATACCCGTGGCTATCTTTGATGATCAAATTTTGCACTTGTTCTTGGCTGGCTTTTATATAAATTCTCCAGGGCTGCTCTGTGGTTTATGAAGAACTGGTCCTGAAGCGTCGTTTTTGAGTGAGTGCTTGGCGTGGGTTTTCTTTGCGGAATTACACCAACAATATAAGTATTAAAGAGAATTAAATCTTGTGGTAAGGTGACTGCAAGGTTGGCCTCGCCTTTGCTAGGCGAGGCGAGACCTCGCCGTCGTGACCCAGGCGACGGCGAGGTCGGCCTCGCCAGATCTGGCGAAGCTTGTCGGTGGCCAGCGGGGCGAGCTTCGCCAGATTTGGCGAGGCCGACCTCGCCATTGCCTGGGTCGCAACGGCGAGGTCTCGCTTCGCCAGCAAAGGCGATCGCTTCCTCTCGGCGAGGTCTCGCTTCGCCAGCAAAGGCGATCGCTTCCTCTCGGCGAGGGTCGCCGGGCCCTGGCCAGGGGCCAACGACTCTCGCCGACCACTCCGCCCACCACTGCCGGCCCTTCCCTGCGGTGGTGGGGTGGCAGCAGCAGCGGCGAGGGAGCCCTCGCCGCTACTGCAAGCCTGCAATGTTTGATGTTTTTTTTTTAAATATAAATAAATATAATATAAATTTTATTTTTCTAAAAAAGTACACGTCAGCGGACTAAACGGCGTTGTTTTTGGTTTTTAATGTTGACTGGACCTCTCCAGCGAGCCATTGACCTCTCTGGCGAGCCATGTCAGCGCCACGTAGGGTTTCCGACAAGCCATGTTAGCATTGGTACTACAGTGATCGTTTTTCAAAAAAGTTGGCACCAAAGTGATCCGAAAAAAAGTTATGGCACTAATAGTGTCCTTTTGCCGAATTTTAAAGGAGGTGTCATCTAGGAAATTGCTGTTCAATTTCGCGGATGACATTGAAATGTGGATGCACCTCTTGATTTACTATACTTTTTATTCTTAAAATGTCACGGACCGCTCTTCTCCTCTTTTATTACTTTTCCCCGGTCAGCATAGATTTTGTTGCACTTCATCAATTTGATGTATACATTAATTATCTTGGGAAATGGTCTAATAAGTCTTAAACCTATTTTACGGACTATTTATATTTTGTCAATTTAGTCCTATACCTTTGAGCGAAATTTCAATATAATCATTCCGATTAATTTTTGGGTTAATACCACGAAAAACCCTAAACTGGTACACTTGTGACACATTTACCCCAAACTATTTTTTTGACCATAAAAAACCCCAAACTGGTACACCTGTGATAATTTTACCCCGAACTATTTTTTTGGCCACCAAAAACCCCAAACTGGTACACCTGTGACAATTTTACCCCGAACTAATTTTTAATATTATTTATTTATTTTTTTTTAAATTTTTTCTTTTCTTTTTTTTTTTCATTTTCAAACTCTGGCCGGTCGCCGGTCCGACCAGAGGCGGAAGCCGGCGAGGGCGACCCTCGCCGGTATCGGGTGAGGGCCGCTCGCCCGACGCAGCGAGGGTCGCCCGACGCAGGCGAGGGTCGCCCTCGCCGGATCGCGAGGCGACCCTCGCTGCGTCGGCGGAGTCAGTCCTCCTTTGCCTAGGCGGGCGGCATCCTCGCCCGAGCTCGAGCGACGGCGACCTCGCTGCGTCAGGCGAGGGTCGCCCTTGCCCTGGGCGGGCGAGGACGGCCCTCGCCGGCTTCCGCCTCTGGCCGGTCGCCGGACCGGCGACCGGCCAGAGTTTGAAAATGAAAATAAAAGAAAAGAAAAGAATAAAAAATAAATAAAAATTCGAAAAAAATAAAAATAAAAATATTAAAATTTTAATTCAGGGTAAAATTGTCACATATGTACCAGTTTGGGATTTTTTGTGGTAAGTTCAGGGTAAAATTATCACAGGTGTACCAGTTTGGGGTTTTTGGTGGTCAAAAAAATAGTTAGGGGTAAAATTGTCACAGGTGTACCAGTTTGGGGTTTTTTATGGTCAAAAAAATAGTTTGGGGTAAATGTGTCATAAGTGTACCAGTTTAGGGTTTTTCGTGGTATTAACCCTTAATTTTTACTGAAAATCGCCGACTTAGCGATGCGTCCACATAAGATAACTGAAGATGACTGGATTGTCATGTCAGCGTCTTTTGACGAAAATTAACTAGAAAGACTATATTGAAATTTTACCAGAAGGGTTTGGATTGAATCAGCAAAATTAAAAAATTTATGACTGAATTGCCGTATGTTCAATCGGTTTAGAAGTGATTAAGTAATTTTCGCAGTTTTTCTCAAGTGGAGGGGATTGACGTGGACGCAGCTGTTGAAGATTTTTTGGGCTGTTCGGACAAGTGGAAATCCAGTAGGTGGGCTATTAACAACGAGAATTCTTGCAGCTAGTGAAAGAACGATCATAGGTGCGCTTCGAGGCTCTTTTTTATTATTTTTATGTCTATTTTCCAGTTATTCTAGGATTTATTTATTTTTCCAAACTTTTTTGGTTAATTTCGGTTTTTCTTATGTCACCTAGGGTTTGCATAGTATTTATTTATTCTTTTCACCGTATTTAGACAGTTTTACCTCTTGTTTAGAAATACAAAAAATTGAGAGATTTCTCTCTGTATGGTTTATGAGTGCACATTTCGAGTGTTCGTTTGCAAGTGTACTAGTGTTTATCGCATCCTCTGTGCCAATATTCCACCAAAACTATAAGCCACGCGTTTCTAATATTCTAGTTAATACTCGATTATATCCGTAGTAATTGGAACAAGGGTTGGGTGTTTTGGGTCGCTTGTAATCCTTTGCCATATACTGTGACCACTTCGGACGTCTACTTCTTGACGTGACAACGTGAATGGCGAATCGGTCAGACAAATCGTTCATCCAGTCTTGGACGGCAAATTCGACTAGGGTTTATAATGGTCAGACAATCTTTAATTGTCCTGGTTGCGGTCATACACGTTCACTAGACCGTTGACAAGATTGGCACTTCCATATTTCAATATCGGCAAGCGCAATACACTTAGAAAAAGAAAACTCAGGAGGATCACATCACTTCACACATCCTCAACCCTTGCAAATCTCTAAAATACACGGGACTTGTCATTCTACTTCTAAACCTACCTCCATCGTGCAATAAGAACCTGTTTGGTAATCATCCCGTTTCCCTATCTTTTTATTCTATCGTTCCTTAGAACAGAAAAAGAATAGAAATCCGTTTGTTAATGTCAGCAAATTTTTCGATTTCCCGGAATAGAAAATTGGCCAGCGAATAGATTTGGAACAGAAACAAGAAGTAAAAAAACCCTTCTTCTTTATTCTTGGAAATAATTTTTGAAAGAAGTCATTTTTTTACTTCCTTCTTCTTCCTCCTCTAGTCGGTCGCCGGGCCTCGCCCAACCATGGTGAGGCCGACCTCGCCCAACCACCATGATGTTGGCTTCGCTTGGCCATGGCGAGGCCGACCTCGCTAACCATCGCCGAGGCCCGGCAACCAGCTAGAAGAGGAAGAAGAGGGAGGAAAAAAAGAAAAGAAAAAAAATTTAACTATTGGAATAATCTCAGAAAATTATTAAAAAACTAAGAAAATTTCACATCATAAAATTTTTTTAGGGTCGTACTAAATGCTTTTTTCTTCTTTTTCTATTCCGAGAATAGAAATTTTGTACAGTTACCAAACACGTTTTTCTGCTCAGAAACTCATATAGGGAATAGAAATAGAAAAAAATTATTTAAAAAAAGTTATTTTCATGAACAGAAATGTTACCAAACACACCCTAAGCTGCGACCATACATTGCATTGCTATACTTATCTTTGCCATCGCCAAACTTTTGGAAATGGAAATGTCACTGTCTATTGCTCAACAAAATTCAACATGTTTGATTTTCTATGGGTATTATTCAATGAACAAGAGTCCATAGGTACTAGGGGTGTAAACGGTTCGGTTCGGTTCGATTTTCTTGAAAAACCGAACCGAACCGAACCGTTAAGGGTGCCTCCTTGAACCGAACCAAATAGGAACCGAACCGAATTAGAACCGAACCGATAAGCCGATTTGGTTCGGTTTGGTTTGGTTTGGTTCGGTTTGCTTTTCGGTTTCTTCTTCTTTTATCTTTTTTCGCACTTCTTCCCTTCCCCCTCCTCGTCTTCTTCTTCCGCTCTCTCTCTTCCCTCCAGCTCCCAGAGCTCGCCGATCCCGGACTCCTCCGACGCGACCCGGACCAGCTCGGCCTCGCGCCGCGCCGCCTCGCCGCCCGAAGTGGGGGTGGTCGAGGGCGGGAGGCCGAGCTCGTCGTCCGAGGCGCCCAGGAGGTACCCGAGCTCCGACTTCGAGTCCCCGGACTCCGCCGTGAGGTCAACCACCTCCACCGCAGCCGGCGACTGCAGCGAGGACGCCGAGGCCGCCGAGATCTCGTCCTGGAAGCTCCGCATGAGGGAGTCCAGATCCGGGGCTCCCGGCTCGGGGTCGGAGTCGTCGAGGAAGCCGAGGAGATCGTCCCTCAGCCTCTTCACCTCGGCCGACTGGAACTCCAGCTCCTCCGCGCCGTCGTCGCCTCTGAACCGCTTCCTACTGCTGCTCTGATCTTCCATCGGAATAAAACCAAAGAAAACGCTGAACTTCTGTGCTACGGGCTCGACCCAGATGCCGCCGAGGAGAAATGATTGAGGAGAGAGAGCGCGCTTCTTCCAAGAAAACCACATTAAAAAACCGAAATCCGAACCGATTTGAACCGAACTGAACCGAACCATTGTGTTAACCAAATTCATTTATTTATTATCCGAACCGAAACCGAACTGAACCGAAAATACATGAATTTTCGGTTCAGTTCGGTTCGGTTCGTATCTCGGTTCGGTTTTTCGGTTCGGTTCTGACACCTCTAATAGGTACGACTTCGCGTCAACTGATTTGCGTACGCGTTGGTCGGGTCGTATCCACGAACAAAAAAGATTGCTGTCTTGACTGCTTATATAAGTAGCCATGGAGCTCATCAGAAGCTCGAGCTGTCTTACGACCCTAAATAAAAAAGAAGGAGAAGAGCAGGGTACGTGAAAAAAGTAGGAAAAAATGGCATCCAAGGATTTGAGTTCGTCTGATTGGGCTGTGAAATTTCTGTGCTTTTTCATGGTTGTGATCCTTCATTCAGTCATCGTCTCTGCAGCACGCCGAGGACCAGGAGGGCGTTGTGGGCTGGGTTAGCTGCTCATTCTCTTCACTTCTTCCGTATTATCAGATGGATTGATCTCAACTACATAGCTCGTGTAATTTTTGTTGATGCGTCTCACGTTCTGCACCATCGATACTGGTGAAAACAACTTGTACCGATTTTCTACGAAATTTGCATCATCGCTCTATTACCAAATGTCGGGCAAAATGGTAATTCGAAACGATCGATATACCTGTCATCTTATCCCACAACATGTTTCATGGATTCCGAAGATATGTTAAATTCAGACAAATACTAAAATCATTTTCAAGAAGGGAAAATTTCCAAAGAGTCCTAAACCTATTGTACGGCAGTTAATTTAGTCATAAACCTTTCAATTGTGCCAATTTATTCTCAATCTTTTAAGGATTTTCCTATTTAGTCCTAAACCTTTTAGTGCATTATTCTGGTTAATTTTGGTTAGAAATCGCTAACGTGGCATAGTCGGTGCTAATGTAGACAATTGTTAAAATTTTTTCCGAATTTTATTTTGATTTTATATTTCTTTCTTCTTCTTCTTCTTCTTTTCATAGGGCCGATGGGGCCACCGTCCACTATGCGAGGGCCGTGAAGCCCTTGCCGGATCTAGGTGATGATGTCGCGAGCCCTCGCCCAGTCCCTTGTGGGCCACAGCGAGGGCGTTACAGCCCTCGCCCGCCCTCACTATGGTCGGTGAGGGCCTGGGCGAGGGCCGCAACACCCTCGCCTCACAAGATTTGGCAAGGGTGTCGTAGCCCTTGGAAAATTTTTTAAATATAAAAAAATTATCCACGTCAATGTTGGCCGCGCCACATAGGACGTCTGACGCTGATTGACTGCCATGTCAGCAATTTCCCACCAAAATTAGCTAGAAGAACTAAATTAGTAATTCGTTAAAAGGTTTAGGACTAAATGAACAAATTCTCAAAAGGTTTAGGACTAAATTGGCACAATTAAAAGGTTGGGGACTGAATTGACAATTCGTCAAAAGATTTAGGACTAAATTGACACGATTGAAAATTTAGGACTGAATTAGCTACCATACAATATGTTTATGACTTTTTGGATAATTTTTCCTTTTTTTAGAATATCCCAAATCCACTCTATTTATACTATAATTCTCTACTTTGCTTGCCCCCCCAGATGTGTCATGCGTGAGCAACTTTCGCTAGTAATCCGTAAACGTTTCTCTTGCAGTTTTGACGATGTACATCGATCCATCCAATTAAATCCTTCATTTGCAATGGTTTGCAGGTGGAGCAGATCCAAGCAACCCAAACCCGTCCCCCGGATGTATATGTATGTTTTTACTAACATATCCTCCATATTCGAATGAGATTTTTGACATGCCCCTAATTCAAAACGACTATTCAGTATAATTAGTAAATATTTACTGTCACTGCAGGAGGTGGTTGTACTCCAACAATGAAGTGATCGACTTGAAGTGTCCCACAACAGGACAAGTGGAGGTTCCGGATTTTGGGTTGACTTTAATTTTACTGTTCGTTTTCCTTTTGGAAGATGGGAAAGTGTTAAGTCGTTCTTCGATTACGTGTTTTTATTTTTATTTTTTACAGAGCGCAGCTAAAAAATTATGGTTAGTGAACTTTATAGGTCATGGTTGATCAAAGATTGACGAGTTGGAATATAGGTTGTCAGTGATCGAAGAGTCGGGTGTGTATGTTTTCTTTCATGATGGATGTCCTACTCGATATGTTGTATCGAAAATATACGAAATCATTAAGTAAATGGGTAATCTGCCCGCAATTTTCTCGAACAGATGTTAAATGGAAGGGATGCGACAATCGAATACCAAAGTGAAGGGATGAACTGAACGTGAATACGAGGAATTGGTCCTCTTCACGTCTCCCTCTCTCATTCTCGATATAAGCTTAAGCTATTGAATTAAAACTTAACAGCTATCCTATGATCCAAAAAAAACGGAATAGACCCAAATCCAGTGCAAGAACTCAGCACCATTTGTCATCACATCTTCAGGGATCAGTGCCCCTAATTACTCGTATATATGCGATTAAAATCACAAAAGGCACGACCAAATAGATTCAACAAGTTCATCCTGAGCTATCTTGAATCATAGTCACACTTAAGATTCAAGTGCATATGCAAAAATTACACTAAAAGCGAACTTGCAGGTGACACAATCCTTGAGAGATTGTTAGATCCGCCCTGCGTCAGCTCATTAGGAGTACCATTTTCTTCGGATCCGCGACTTTTCTCTAACGATCATCGGGGCTAGAAAATCTGCTGGATGCAGCCGGGAAAGAATTAAGAGTTTAAGGAATGTTGTGGGTGAAAGGAGCTGCGGATCTCTGATTGGAAGTTTTGCACATGATTTATGGAGCTCATTGGGACCATCGCAAAAAAGCAAGTCGATTGAGGATGGGATGGTGATTTGCATGGAGGTAGTGTTGAATCTCTCCATGTAATTTAATCGCCTCGGGGAACTGTGGGGAAAGAAATAACCATTGAAACAATTACGGATGGAGGTAGTGTTGAATCTCTCGAGGCAATTTGAAATGTGTCTTTTGGACAAAGAAAACGCGGCCGTATCATCCATAAACCTCCCCGCTATCTGACGGCTGTCCTTAGAAAACGACCATGCACTTTCTTTTCAGATTGAGGGAGGTCAACGGGTGTTCATGAGCGAAATGCCAGGGCACCCAGTTGATACAATGGAAGGTCGTCGTGGATGCACAGCCGACATGCAGATTGATGTCGCACGGTTCGTGGCTGGAGGTCGAGCGTCTGTCGCCACGGCAAACGTCGGCAAGAGGAGCGGATCTCATGCATTTGGAGCGCGAGGACATGTTGTGGATGAAAAGGGTGTTGACTTGGGAGGGAAACATTTGCATTTTTGGGAAACACGGACTTTATCTTCATCACAAACCCGGCATCGGAAGGTACATTAGAATTTTCGCTCAAGGTCTCAGCAGGTTTAGGGCATTAGGATGAAAAGAATATGGGAGATCCACCCCATTTCAAGAAGACTGCACAATCTGCAAGACTGCTAGTAAATGCAATGGTTGTTCATATAAGCATCAAAGAATGGTTTTTTTTTTTTTATACAAGGTGTCATCTAGGAAACTGCTGTTCAATTTCGTAGATGACATTGAAAGGTGGCATAACAACCATGAGCATGCACCTCTTGATTTACTATACTTTTTCATTTTAAAGATGTCGCGGACCCATCTTCTTCCCTTTGATCATTTTTCCCCGGTAGGCACAAACTTTGGTGCACTCCTTCAATTTCAATATATACTTTAACTGCCTTGAAAAACGTGTGCATGTCTTCAGAGTCAACACGAAATCGTTTTTAATGTAAAAGGACTATCTTAATGAGTGTCCAACACGCTTATGAAGTGTATTGAATTCAATTTAATATAACTCAACTTCTAAATCATTAATGACATGTATAACACGAGGACAAACAACGGTTTATGAAATACAAAGTTTAGTTTGATGGATTACTTAGAAAGTGTTCTTTGAACCTAAGGTAACAAAATCTAATATAATAACCGTTGAGATTTGTTGCATCAGTCTGATGAGGATAGGAAAAATTATCCAAAAAGTCCAAAACTTATTGCTTTTTGCTAATTCAATCGTAAACTTTTTAATTTTGTCAATTGAGTTACAAACCTTGTCAAGTTTTGCCAATTGAGTCTATCTGGCCAATTTTAGCCAAGTATCGCTAATGTGGACGTCAACCGTCTTACGTGCTATAGCTAGCACTGATGTGAACAATTTTTATAATTTTTTTTGTAATTTTTTTATTGTCATTGACACTATGATAGCTCCAAAAAGAAAATGGTATATTTCCATACAGCACGAATGTGCAATATTAGAGAAGGATCTTTTTAGTAATACAGATATGTTAATTATTGTCAAAGATAAATCCAGTGCGAAGCGTGGATATGAACACAAGTATTGACTAAACTGAACTTACATCGGAGCTAACTACAACGTGCATGGTGAATAGAGGCCATACCGTGTGGTCCAAGTTCTAGTCCATTGAAAACTCGGACTACGAAACCAGACATCGGACAGCAACTTCTCATGAAAATTCGTGAATTTTAGTCATAGACGGCAGCTGAAACTCCAGAAATACAAAGAGCATATATCATCGTCAGATGCATCATTTCATAGGGCAAAAAGACTTTTGGCACAAACCCCTAATTTCTACGTCCCGCTTTTACACGTTAATCAAGCAAACTCCATATACCAAACGCATATCATTTGCTTATATAAGTGGCTATGGAGCTCTGCAGAAACCGAGCTCATAACACATCTTGAGAGAAAAGAAGAGGGTACATGAAAAAGGGAAGAAAACAGGAAGAAGAAAAAAGAGGGAAAGTAAAGAAAAAGAAGGGGAAAGAAATGGCGCCCAAGACTATTGCTTCGTCTCCTTCGATTGCGCAACTTTTGTGCATGTTCATGGTTCTGGTCCTTCATTTCATGATCATCTCGGCAGGCCGATGCCCGGGTGAGAACGTTTTTCTTTCTTTCTTTTCATCTCTTCCACATAATCTCTTTATTTCTTATAGTATTAATTTTTAATACTGTAAGAAAACAAATCTTTAAGTTTTTCATTGTTTACATCAAGGAAAAAGAACAGGAAATCTGTAATTTTTCATGGTTTGCACTTTGCATGCAGGTGAATCGGTTCCAAGCGACCCGCGGCCTTCCCCTGGATGTAAATGTATGCGCTTATGTTACAGTTTACACACCCAATAATATGAGATTTCGACGGAATTCAAATTACTGCATCCATCTTGCTTATATTGACATATTTTCAGGCAAAATCGTGCTAATATGAGCTGTTCAATGGTGTTGCAGGAGGTACTTACATGACAAAGTGGTCGACTTCTTGTATTTTGCTTCAGAAGAAAAGTGGTGGTCCCTAAACTTGACTGTAATGTTATGGGAAGGGATGTAAAAAATGTTAATTAGTCTCTGTATCACGTATCTTTAAGTGGTCTCTATATCTTCAGGCAACTCTTGGAAGGTTGTCACTATGAGAAGAAAGAGTCCGCATATCTTTCGGGTTAAGGACACCATTTTCATATAGCTCTCACTTGAGAGCCATAACTTTTTTTCGGTCACATGAGTGACATAACTTTTAATCGATCACTTTAGTGTCATATCATTCAGAAAATGTTCACCAAAGTGTCGGAAATTTGGCATGGCATGGCACGGCACTGGTAGTGAACATTTTTTAAAAGTTATGGCACTCAAGTGATTCATTAAAACGATATATAACACTCAAGTGATCCAATAAAAAAAGTTATAGCACTCAATAGAGCACTTGACAAAAGTTATGACATTCAAATGATTGAAAAAAAGAAGTTATGGCCCTCAAATGAAAGCCATACAAAAGTTATAGACACTTTCGGTGTCCTTTTCCCTGTATTTTTCTTTACTATTAGTCTCCAAAGCTTGTCTCGATTACAACTTTAGACTTAATTGAAGAATCGATGATATTTCTGATCGACACAGCTTTTATGATTTTGAGAGAGATTTACAATTGATTATGAACGTGAAGTCATGAACAGGATGTGAATATGTAGAATGGATGCTCTCCGTGATAATGGGTGACATTTCTTAAGATCCATTGGATATCGATGGCCCTTGACGAAAGTCAGGTAAGATGAACCGTGGCCCCATAGAATTATTATGCGACAATCATTTTGGGCAAAGTACAATTGCAATTTGCATCTGGGAAGGGATTTGCCACGTGAGAAGCAAGCTAAATTAGAAATGAGAGATTAAAATGTTCAAAATCAAAGTTGATGGGGAGGAATTGTATGTAGATAATATGAACGATCGTTTATACCGGTCAGCCATATAATCTGACACATAATACTAAAACGTTACAACAATGAAGTTGCACTCGTAAGTTGAGCAACAATCTCAGGCTCAAATGGCCAAGGACGTAAACTAAGTTAAAAAGCATTGAGTGGACTCTCCTTTGTTTGCAAAAACAAAATCATTGAGGCGTACCTGCACATTGATTGGCTTTGCACAATAAAATCAGAGGACTATTCTAGTCATGCAAACGGACTTTTTTCCCATGTTAATGTTGAAGAAGCATCGCCTCCTCTGTCTCTCTCTCTCTCTCTCGTTCTCTAGATTTTTCTTCAAGCTCCACCTCTATATATTTCCAAAGAAAAATCAGTCAACAACTTGTTACCTTGTATGCCACCTCTAGAATTCTTTGGAGGAAAATCTGCCAGAGCAAGTTGGCAAGTAATAAATGCTTGCAGGGAGTCCCATCGGTATTAGCTCCTATTTATAGGGAGCTAATGCTCCATGTGATGCGTGTAGAGTGTTGTGTAGAGAGTGGTGTTGTGTAGTGAGTGGCGTGTGTTCTGAGTAATGAGTGCACTGAGTAGAGTTGTGAAAAGAGTGAAGTATGTATTATAAGTATAGTTCTAGGGTCTATCTTGAAACTTGAGAACTTATAAATTTCAGGTTTCAACATATGTATGGTAGGTTTCAGATTCCAAAATTTAGGGAACGTGTTTCGACGGATAGGTTTTATACTTTAGGTAGGTGGAACCTTAAACAAGTTTTTGTATTTTTTCTTGATCTATGTCTTACTGTGATCCTACGGTATTCCATGGCCTAGAATCTGAAACCTTAAATAAGTTTTTGTGTTTTTTCTTGGTCTATGTTTTCGTGTGATCTTGCGATGTTTTATGGCGTTAAATGATGAGTACATAATCTAGAACCATTAGTTTGAGTTTTCATTTTATGACTTGTTAATATTTCATACTCTTTGTATCTCTAAATATAAGTTATGGTCAGTGGATCGTAGTAGTAAGTGGTGGTCATTAAAAGTGATGAATGACTATAATTATTCAATTAATAATACTGATGGAACTTGAGTAGACCTTGGAATTGACCCTGGAACCTGTGATAGGGTAGGTTCCAGATTCCAAAAAATAAGGAACCTATTCCCATGGGTAAGTTTCAAGTTTCAGGTAGAACTTATACGGATTTGGAACCGCTTACCCCTAATTATAAGGTCGTGGGTATTAGTGTGTGAGTGGTGTTGAGTATATGTTCTTGTAATATTAAGAGAGTTTTTATTATAGTCATGCTTCCGCATCTCAACAAGTGGTATCAGAGCTGCCTCTCATAAACTCTACAAGTGATATTAGGGCCTAGGTTTTTTGGGACTATGTCAAAGCTCAAGTTACGAGGGACGTTTAAGAGCTAAGGCGCCAGGGACCGTATTGGAGTAGGTAGTTAGAGCCCAGGGGTCGGGGACCATATGAGAATAAGGTGGTAACGCATCTCAAAAGGTTTTGAAAAGAAATGTAAGAACAATGTTGGGTTATTGGAGTATAATGCATTGGAACTAGTGCTTGTTAGGTTAAGAACCAGACCTATAAAGAATGAAATGTAATTCAGGTAATCATTGGTGAAGTTCCTATGAACCAAGAATTTCTTTTTGTAAATTATAATTTTCATCAATCACATTACACTCCCACAAATTTTGTTGTTCAATGCGGTTTTGCACTAATAGGCCATGCATATGCTTGGTTTATTCATAAGTGCTCTAGAGATTATTCCCAATAATTTTCATAGGGGCGGCCTCACTCCAAACTTATATAAGTGATTCCATCAAGTGTATTCTGAAGTTTAACACACCACCAATAATGGCTATGTACTTCATTAAGAGCTTAGCTAAGCCTTTTTTCATTGCAGTCTTGCATTAATCTCACCTTAGGAGGGACATAAATTTTTGGGAAAATTTTAAATAGGGGCCTGAAGTGGAGTTGTTTTCTCAAATAAGGGCCCAAAGTGGACATTGTCTCAAATAGGGGTCTAAAGTTGTCCACTTAGTCTCAAATAAGGGCCCCAACTCGTGCATCGGCCAAATTTTTGCCGGTCGACTTATTCCGGCGATTAAAGCATGGACAATTTTGTCCAAAAATTGTAACTGGTAAAAAAGAAAAAAACGGTGAATCCTAAGAACGAAATATCCCAAATTGAATTTTAGGGCTCTTTGTGGATTTTCTTTCTCACGTTGGTCTTTCATTTTCAATGCTAGTTCTCTCTATAGATTTTTCTCTCAAACAAATCAAAGAGAATCCTCTCTGCTCTTGAATTCTCTCTATAAAATTTTTTGGCAACCAAATCAGAAAGATCCCAAATTGATTTTGTCAAAAAAAATTTCTGTTTTGACCTAATAGAGAAGTCAAGTTTGTCTGACTTGAATCTTCCTTCAAAAAGTTAACCCTTTTGTGTCGCAAGCTTCTCATCGAGCCTCTCGTTAGCCTCTTTGCTACACCCCCAAGCTTCTCAGGTTGATAGCAGTAACAGTTTCTCCAGAAAATAAGGTGAAAAGAGGATCAAAGGGAAAACTTTTAAGGAAGAGAAGGGTGTGTTTGACACTGGGCAAATTGATTTTGGTATTTGCTTTGAATCAATTCAGTTTATAACTTGAATTGAGGAATTCGTTTGCTGTCCGAGGCGAACGAAAACCAATTATTTTTTGCAAAGTCTCCTGTTGAAGAATTTTTTTGCTATCCGAAGCAACCTAAATTGAAGAATTTGTTTGCTGCAGTTAGTTCACTCAAAAACACGTGGTGCACCACTTTGAAGAAGCCCTAGAGGAGCGTCGATTCCATCAAATTTTAGCGTCCTCTAATTTGCTTCGTTTTGACCAAGGTCAGTTTACTAAATTGGTGCATCTAATCGTTTGTTTGTCCAAGAAAAGGCCATTACAGCTTGTTCAAGCAACATGTCCACAAGGTATACGGATATTGTGGAATACCACACCGATGGCAGCAACGACAGTGATGGTAAGAGATATTTTTTAGTGTTTGCTTGTTTCGTCCGATTTATGGGTGCATTTTGTCTCTTTTTCAATTAATGCACGTGAGAGTTGCATTTTGTAATGGCGGTGATATTCATCGTGAATTTTCTAATTCGATGCTCTGCCATCGTGGTCCCTACGTGCCGGTTATGGTACTTAATTTGTAACTTTACAGTTTTTGTTTTGCCTTTTCTGATATATATTTTGTTATTAACAACCAATCTATTAATTCGTGGGAGTTGTGAATTTTCTGTTTTTATCTCCACCAAGTAAAGACCTAAAGGAATTGTCATAATTAATTGTATTTGATCTACCCATCCGCTCATTTGGCATATGGTTTATTTTTATTTATGAGTAGGGAAGAAGGATTGGATGATTGCATTGATGGCTTTTAAGGATTGGATGATTGCATATGTACTAAACTTGTGGACAAACATAAAGCTTTTTTGCTAAGTTAGGCAGTCTCTACAGTGGATCATGTCGATTTATCTACCTGATTTATAGCCATCATTAACTAGCAAGAATTAGGACAATAATCCATTTCTTTTCCATAGAATTAGTAAATGAGCTTTTGTTTACTGGAAGCTTAGAAGAGACCAGTTAGTACTAGTATTGTTGATATGTTTTCGTTGTGCTTCCTTCACTAGTTAAGGCTATAACAATTACTATATTAAACTTCTTCCTTTAGTGATTCTATTGAGTAACTCATCAATCTAACAGACTTAACTGTGTTTGTAGCAAGAAACTTAGCTTTATCTTCTTGGATTTGCATAACTGTAGGTATACTTGTCAAGGGAATATATGAACTGGGAAGTAGGGAAACATATTAACATTATTTTTTTTATCTATTTTGCACTAGGTGAGGGATGTGAAGAAGTGAATAATTCTATGCTTGATATTAGGTGTATTGAGGGTGTTGAAGAAGATCGGTTTACCATTATTGATCTTGATGACTTATACAGAAGAAACGTAAGATGTGCTCGGAGTGATCGTTCAATGGAGAAGGATATGGATGCTGGAGATAACAGCTTGTATGTTGATGTATTAGCTGATAATGTAGATTTCTTAAACATGACTAGCCAAAATGAGTATACACATCCTAAGTTCAATGCTGAGGTTGATATGGAGAATCATATCTTCAAGTTGGGGATGTGCTTTAGTAACGCTGAAGAGTTTAGAGAGGCTATTTGGAACTATGCCATTAAAAATGGGAGACAAGTGAGGTTCAATAAGAATGCACGAAATAAGTTGAGGGCAGTGTGTTCTGAGGGTTATGATTGGCTCATATATGCTTCCAAAGTGCAAAAGGAGCATACTTTATAAGTCAA